AAGCAGCTCTTCCCTGCGTGGGGGGCGAGGGGGAGACGGGCCGAGCGTCCTGTTGCCTTAGCTCTGTCTCCCTATCCACCTGTCGCCCTCCCTCTCCCTCTGGCAGCTTCTCTCGATGTGCTTACCATGGTGCGGGGAGGGAAGGGGGGTGTTGGAATGGATCTTGTTTGTGCTGGATGCAATTCATATTTCCTTCAAGGTCTGTTTCCTGGGCCAGCAGGCGGGAGATAATTCCCTCTTTCATTTGCCGCTTATCGCTGGCTGCACACACGACCCCCTGCCGGGAGGGAGAAAATCCGGCTCTTCCGCTTCTCAAACTTGAGATCCTTTGGTCTTTGCGGCCCAGGAGAATCTCATTACTGACGACGTGACAGGCATGCGGGAGATGTCTGCGGCTCCGAGGGCTGTTTGGAAACACCTGGGCGGGCCTGCCTGCTGTGTGGGAAAGACAAGGCCAAAGGCAGGCCAGGAGCGGTGCTCCCAGTGGTGGAGGGGCCGGCCCTTCCCTGCACAGAGGGTTCTCCGTGGGCTTTTAGGTAGAGCCAGCCCTGTTTGGTATATTTTAAAAATATTTAGTTTTGCCCGGCTGGCGTGGCTCAGTGGTTGAGTGTTCACCTATGAACCAAAAGATCACAGTTCGATTCCCAGTCGGGGCACATGCCTGGGTTGCGAGTTCAATCCCCAGTGTGGGGCGTGCAGGGGGAAGCCTATCAGTGATTCTCTCTCATCACTGATGTTTCTATCTCCCTCTCTCTCTCTCTCACTTCCTCTCTGAAATAAATAAATATATATGTTTTTTTAAATATTTAGCTTTATAAAAACTCAATTTATATACATATTTTAAGGCCAAGGTGATAGGGTAGATGGAAGTATGCTATTGCAAAGGCAGTGTTCGTCCTCAGCTTTTAATTTTTAAAAAATACATTTTATTGATTTTTTTTTTTTTTTTTTTTTTTTTTTTTTACAGAGAGGAAGGGAGAAGGATAGAGAGCTAGAAACATCGATCAGCTGCCTCCTGCACACCTCCTACTGAGGATGTGCCCGCAACCAAGGTACATGCCCTTGACCAGAATCAAACTTGGGACCTTTCAGTCCCAAGGCCGACGCTCCATCCACTGAGCCAAACCGGTTAGGGCAGCTCTTAATTTTTTTGAAAAGCTAAGACAATCTCCCCACTGAGAAGGGCCACGTGGTAAAAGGATTCCAGTGTGAGCTGCTGCAAGCATGGGCACTTGACAAGACAGAAACTGGTTTATCCAAGTTCTCACGGATAAAAGTACGCTGAAGGACCATCTTTAAAGCCTTAAAAATTCCCAAGGTGGAGGGTAGCAATTGGAATAAACCTAAACACGTTGCAGCAAACATTCCTTGTTCCTGCGGCAAAACGGCAGTGGAGTCTCGCTGGAGCTCTTGGAAACGTTAAACCTGGTGTCTGATCTTGGTCTTGAACAGTGGGGGTGTCTGCATGAGTTCTCGTCATGGGAGGGATCGCCCGTGCCAGGAAGGGGCCTGCTTCATACTGAAGGTGGTCCCTGAGCAAGGAGCTTTCGCCTTTTACCCAGACGGTTGAAATCTGCTGTTATATGGTTTTGGACCGAGCAATGAATTTTGGCATTTTTTTCGCTTCCATCACCTACTCCAGTGGCCAGCATCTGTCTCCTAGCCCGAGTTTCCCCTCCTGGACCATCCTGTTACGGGAATGGTGACGGCTCTGAGCTGCCCCACAGAACTCCACCCTGTGTCTCAAGTGATTCTCGCTGACCTCCCTTCGCTAATGTGTGTTACTGAGAGCCCGTCACATGGCTTATCCCGCGTTTGCAACATCACAGAGAGCAGGTTTGCAACGTCTCTAAAACCTAAGAAGAGCAATCTGAGTGTGGCAACAGCCTGAGGAGGAAAGAGGAAAAGGTCTAGTAAGACAACGGCCAGCCAGCTTCAGAGAAGGGTAAACGTGCTTCCAGCCCGCAGCCCGCCCTGACTTGAGTCTAATGAGGTTTAACTACTTGTCTCAGTTCAAGGTCACGGGCAACTTCAGGATGCTAGCAGCTGCCCTGGATTACTCAGTCAGGAATCCTGCATTGCCACTTCTGGCCACAAGGGGTCCCAAGCCCTCCAAGTGTCAACACCCAGGGATGGAAAGTGGTCCCAGCTCTTCTGTGAGATTCAGTGGGCAGAGCAGGTGGCTTAAGTGGGCGGCCCCAAGAGAGAGCTGCTGAGCTCAGTCGTTGGCCCTGGGTCAATAACCGTTGGGCGCTGTGGGAGCAATGATAACGCACATGCAATCGCTGAGCTTTGTGTTATTACTGCAAACAGCAGGAAGCACGGCCCCGGGGAGCAGGCAGCTCTGTGCAGTCTGGGTCCTGGTCCCAGCCTGGTTCCCACTCCCTGTGTGGCCTTGGGCATGCCCCCATCCCCTCTGAGACTCAGTCTCCTCGTCTGCCCAGGGAAGGGGCTGGAATAAAATCTCGTCCTCTACAGCTTTGCTGCAACGTAGGCACCTGAAATAGCCCTGACATCAAGTGGTGTCTGAGTCAGCCTTCTGCTCAGCACAAACCGCCGGCGTACCGAAGCCTTCCCTCCTTCTGCCAGATAATCACCGCCCTGGAAGCAAAAGGAGCGAAATCAGCATTCTGTGCCCCAGAATGTTTCAACGTCAGAGACAGAGGAGCACTCAGAGAACATGGTACATCAGGGGTTCTCAGACCTCTCTCAGCCTGGAACCCTTTACTAGGACGAACTCAGACATGGAAGCCCAAACAGAATGTGGCTAGCTGCACTCTGGTTAGAAACTGGAGCCCAGAGAGAGGGAGCCATCTGTCCGATGTCACTCAGCAAAGCTGGGCGGGGCTGCTCCCTCCTGGGCCCATTCCCCAGCAGTGACGTTGAGCCTGCAGAGACTCAAAATCATAAGAAAGGGCCACGTGTGGGAAACTGGGAATGGAACCAGGGCTTTGCGATCGGGAAGTACATCTCCTGGCTTTCCTGAGGGGTGGCAGTTCGTTCATTCAGTCGGCCATTAATTCAAATCTTAATTGAGCACCAGGTATACGCCAGGCACTGTGCTAAGCCCGTGCGGCTGTGGATAAGGCAGTGAGAGCACTCGCCCTCATTGGGCCTGGGTGTTAGAGGGAGAGACAAGCGTAAACAAGTGGTAAATGACAAGGAGCAAAATGCAAGGGAGTGAAGTGATGGATGAGTGACAGAATGGGGGGGGGGAGGGGCATGGGTACCTCTCATTGGTCAAGAACGGTGCTCGTAATTACAATCACCTGGGAACTGCTGGTTTCCAGGCTGCAGCGAGACAGAGGAAGGCTCCTTCCCTGTTTCCTCGGGACAGACAGTCCTGGTGGAGCGGCCCTGGGCCGGGAACTGCGCTTGGCACCGCCCTGGCCTGAAATGCCTCTGAGCCATGAGGCCGGTGCTGCGGACTGGTGTGTTGTGGTCTCACATCCTCATGTTTATAACTTACGTGAGCTGTTTCGATCTGAGGAGTGATCTGTTTGCCCTGGGGAGGCCGTGTCAGGATGGTGTCATCAGAATTGTCGAGCTCCTCAATGTTGATGGACATAAACGTACGGAAGAGCGACTGTGGCGTAACGGACGCTGAGACGTGAAACACCAAGCGTCTGCAGGGCTTAGCGAGAGAGTGACCGGGGCGCCTGAGGCTTCGCCCTCTGACCTCAGTGGCTCTCGGAAGGTATCGGGACACTCGCTCCAGCCGTGGGCAAGGCTGCTCCGGGCCCACCAACAGGGCACCTTTATTCTGCTCTCGCACCAGGGACTCGGGATGAGCGCTGGCCGCCAGGACTCAGCTCCTGGTTGGCGAAGAGACTCCTCTGAGAACCAGCCAGCAGAGAGTCACACCTCAGTGCGATTTGGGCTTCGTTTCTTTCATCGCCCCTTTGCCTGGGACAGTCGTGCCCTCCATCTAGCATTGCTTTGGAGAATGTTACTTCTTTATTGGCTTATTAAGAGACATGACCCTGTGTGCTATTGACTTGTGAAATACTATTATCAGTCATAACCCAAAGACCATTTCGGTGTCTGGGCATAATGTTGCCACGAACAAAGCCGTCAGTGCCAGGGGCCCATCCTTTCCCGGACTCATCCGCCCCGTCTCCCCTTCACGCCCACCTTCCCGCCGTGCTGTACTGGCTCCCAGGAACCGTCACCAAGGAAGGCTGTGGTGCCTCCCCCGGGCAGATGTGATGATGGAGGCCGGTCAGTTCCTTCTAAAGGAAGATGTCCCATCCGAGTTCCTGGCCAGTGGTGAGCTTCGTGAATGGTGAAACAGGCCTGGGTCCCACCTCAGGCTGCCACTCACTGGCCATGTGATCTTGAAAAATGTCTTTGGGCCGAAGCCGGTTTGGCTCAGTGGTGGAGCGTCGGTCTGCAGACTGAGGGGTCCCGGGTTCGATTCCGGTCAAGGGCATGTGCCTTGGTTGCGGGCTCATCCCCGGTGGGGTGTGTGCAAGAGGCAGCTGGTTGGTGTTTCTCTCTCATCGACATTTCTGGCTCTCTGTCTCTCTCCCTCTCTGTAAAAAATCAATAAAATATATAAAGGAAAAAAATTTTAAAAATAAAGAAAAAATGTATCTTTAAAAAAAAGGAAAACTTTAAAAAAAAAAAAAAAAAGAAAGAAAAAAGAAAAATGTCTTTGGTTTTCCTTAACTCTAACATGGGAATAACGGTGCTTTGCCAGAATAGCTCAGGCACACAAGGGGCTTGATGCAGGGCCTAGAACTCAGGAAGTTGACGCTCCCATTACTGTGTGCTTATGTGCGTGTGTGTGTGTGTGTGTGCATGCATGCATGTGTATGCATGAATGTGTGTTGGCATGTGTGCACGGACATATGAGTGCATGTGTTTGCACATGTGTGTGCCTGAATGTGCGTGTGCACCTGTGTATGTGACACCCATCTCCTCCACCGCTGTTGGAGAGTCCCTCCCAGGACGCACGGTGGCCAGGGGCACTGATGGCCTTCCCGGTCTCTCGCCAGATTGCCAGGGGATCGTGGAGGACGTGGTGCTGCTGGGCGCGCCCGTGGAGGGAGAAGCCAAGCACTGGGAGCCTTTCCGGAAGGTGGTGTCCGGCAGGATCATCAATGGCTACAGCAGGTCTGCCCACCCACCCCCCCAGTGGGTGTGCCCACGCGTACGGAGCAGCCAGTGTGCCCGAGGCCTGGCCCCATTAGCGCTCTGAATGAAAGCCTCCATCCCGCAGGGTGAAGAGCTGGACACAGGCTCTCTGTGTCAGGCCTGAGACCAGGCTGTCCCTATGACCAGGGGAGAGGGGGACATGGGCGAGTGGGGCATAGCTTGAGAAACAAAGGTTGGCCTCATCGGGAGTCTCCAGTGCCCACTAGGAGCTCATGTGCACGCCACCTGGCAATGCAGGAAGGGGCCGGGAGGCTGAGGTCTGAGCATGGCTTTGGGCGGGGCAGGGTGATGGACCAGGAAGCTGGCAATGATAGGGGAACCGGGACCCAGGCCATGCATCAGACCTCCAACAAGGGGCGGGACCTGCCAGGACTGACAGCTGTGGGCTGGAGAGGTGGCACCTGGCATGGGGTTTGAGAGGAGGACTCGAGAGGTTTCAGCCACGGCCGTGCCCCAGACTTTGGGGCAGAAGAGAGATGATGTCCATCGCTGAGACCTCAGGGGAGGGGCCTGAGAAGATGCGCAGGCCCATCAGCCTCCAAGCAGAGCCAGACAGGAGGGCGTGCTCAGGAGCTCACGATCGAGAGCCATACAGACCTGGTCCCCACGCTGGCTCGGTTTCTCCATCAGAAAGGAAGGGGAGTTACTAGTGACTCCCAGGATTGCGGGGATGGTTAAGCCTAGAGAGCGGCACATGGCGTTCAAGCACATGCAGATGCGGTGACTGTTCAGCAGGAGTGGCCACATGGGGCATTCACTCCACAGACTCTGAGTGAGCACCAGCCTGGTGCTGGAACCCGTCATGGGGCTGCAGGGGAACAAGCCAACCAAACACACCAACAAACCAGAGGACCTAGCATCCGGCAGGAGGACAAGCAGCAGTAGCTGTCGGGAGTTTTAAAGTGCCACTTTTCTGACACTCCTTCCCTAAAGTTTGACTTCTAAGATCCTGATCTACTAGATACACATGTGCACAGAGAGGGCTGTAAAAAGTGGGTAGTTGCAACTTCATTTATAACTTAAAAATGAAAACAACCTGAAGGACCATAGGAAGGGGACTAGTTAAAGGGAGAAAAAGGGGGTGCCACAATCCATACTGCGATCCCATAGAAGAAGGGAGAACCGTCTGCACATGCGCACATGAGCCTGCCTGCCCAGCAGCCCCCAGGAAGGTGTAACGGGCCATCGGGAGCTGATGACATGGCCACCCCTAAGGCATGGACAGGCACCAGAGGTAGGACATGAAAGAGACGTTAATTAATTTTTTTTAAAGTAAGGATAGTTTTAAAAACAAGAAAAGAAGCAGAATGGACCAACCTTTGAGGTCAGACTACCCTCGGTTAAAATTTTGGCTCCACCATTACCTATTGCGTGGCTTTGGACAAACAACTCTGAATCCTAGTGTTCCTGCCTATCAGATAGGAATGGGAGTCCCTCTGCACAGGGGTTCTGGGAAAATTAAATGAGGTTCTAGGAGAATTAAAAAGGGTGCCCAGCAGGTGCCCAGTAGACGATAGCAGTTAGAATGGCTGTTTCTGGCATCTTCGCATGACACACGACTTGTCATAAGCAGCAAGGGAAAGAATTAAAATTGCATGTGTGCAATATGAGATCAACAGACTCTTATTAAACCCATCTGTTCTATTGAGGACCGGAGGCTAATAATCTTGCTTTTCAATTATTCTGTGAAATCCTGGGCCATCCCTTGAGAGAGTTAGGAGGAGGAGGAAGAGGAGAAAAAGGAGGAGGAGGAGGAAGAGGAAGGAGAGAAAAAGAAAGGAACATAACAGACCAAGACAATAACTATAGTTTCTTGGTAAATTAAACACCAATCAGAAATTTATATTCTTGGTTCCCAAAGGCATTTTAGTTGCCATGAGCCTACTTGAATGTGAAGTGAGGGAGTGAGGGGAGCGTCAGACCAACACTGTCAGACTAAGTACACTTACAAATGTATACTCTACACTGATAAAAGAGAAAGATGCAAAATTGACCGTACTTCTGTGACACCCACCAGCCAATCAGGAGTGACTATGCAAATTAACTCAACAAATATGGTGGGTTAATTTGAATATGCAGGCGTGGAGTGAAGACTGAAGCCCGAGCAAAGACTGAAGACTGAAGAGGCTTGGCTTCTCCACTGTGGCCAGAGTGAAGGCCTGGGTCCCGGGTACCAGAGGAAAACCGGTGCCAGCAGCCAGGAGAAGGAAGGCCTATTACACAAATCTTCATGCAATGGGCTTCTAGTGTACTTCAATAAAGCTCTATGCACATCCCTTCATAAACCCCCCAGAGCCTAGCCAGGCAAGTGGTGCTGCCCCCTGTGGTACTGGAGGGTCCAGTTCCTCACCAGGACCGCACAGCAGAGCCAGGATGTGAACTCAAGCAGGCCTATCTCACTCCTTGAAGAGAAGGTTTCATCCTGCCTCCCAGGGGGACACCGTGTAGCCTCTGCTCCAGAGACCATGTGAGCAGGAGATGAGGTAGGAGAAGCAGGGAGGACCCACAATGGCTTCAGCCTCTGAGTAGCGAAGGAGCGTGTGATGGCCAATCAAGGGTCCAGCTGTGTGATTCATGCCCCAGCATCGCCCAGAGGGCCACTGAGGCAAGGCTTGCTGGACCCCACCCCAGGGACTTCCTGATTCAGCTCAGGATACAGGAGACAGGACTAAGGCGCAGTCCTGGGGGAAAGAGCCAGGACCGGACACACGGAGGGTGTGTGACAAATGTCACCAAAGGAGCATAGACGTGAAGGACAAAGGAGTGACAATATCAGCTGGAGGGGTTCAGGGGCGCCCCCCCGGGGAAAGTGATCCATGCTGAATTTTGAAAGGATGGAAAGTCTCTCTTAGCCCACAGACACTAACAGAGTAGACCACCCACGAAGGCCCAGAGTAGGCGGTAGATTGGTCCCTGAATCTTCTCCAGTGCTCGCGTGGGGCCCTGTGCACATGCGTGCCGACTCAGTGCATGCTCCACCCACCATCCCCCTTATTCCCCATCTCAGTGCACGCTCCCCCTTCCCCCCTCTCCCCTGAGAGGAGGCTGAGGCTCAGAGGGGCCGAGCATCTTGTCCAAGATCACACAGTGAACCATCGACCAGGCGGGACTTGAACTGGCTCCATGTGACCCACTCCGGCAAGAAGGCAGAGGGGGGTCTTGAAGGCCCATGGTTTGCTCAGCACAGCTTAGAGAACAGGGAGCCTTCTCACCGATGTTCCCATTCTGTCCCTCAGTCCCTGTGAGTGCGGTGTTCCGCTTTGAGTAAAGTGCTGTCATAAGACAAACATTTCGAAAGGAACGATTCTGACTTTGCTCATTTATAACTGCCTGCGTCAGAAACAGCAAAGGAAGGATTAAAATTGAACGTGCACCCAGCTCCGATCAATCCACTCCCCCAGGAAGACCAGGCATCCCGGGGGAAGTGGGAACTCCTCTGACCCAAGAATACCTCTCCTGTTCCATGTGCTGACTTGTCCAGAACTTCGCCCAGTTCCCTCATCCATCCACCCATCCATCCATCCATCCATCCATCCATTCATTCATTCAATAGGTGGCCATCTACTGCATTCAGTCAGTTCTCAGCTCTGGGGACCCAGCAGGGAACAAAGTACAAACCTTCCTGGAGCTCCCATGCCCCGGGCAGCACTGCCAAGGGTCCCCTGCGGTTCCCACCCCACAGCGCCCTGGTTTCCCACAGAAACACCAGTCCCACCAGACTCCCCTGGGCCAAGCAGGGCCCCTCCTTGTCCTGGGGCTTCCCCTCGGCTAGCACTCACCCGTTCTGTGCCCGCAGGGGGGACTGGCTGCTGAGCTTCGTGTACCGCACGTCCTCGGCGCAGCTCCAGGTGGCCGGCCTGCAGCCCGTGCTGCTGCAGGACAGGAGGATGGAGAATGTGGACCTGTCCTACGTGGTGAGTACCCCCCTGGCCCTCCCAGGGCTCTGCCTCTGCCAGCCGGGGCACTTCATGAACCAGGGGCTCTAGCCCCGGCTCATTCCTCACCGTGGAGGGAGAGCATGGCATCAGCTTGGGGGGAGGGGACTCCTCTCTGTGCATCATCCCTGTGCCGTGGCTTCGTCACCCGGCCCTTTACGCGCTTTGCCTCAGCATAATCACCCGCCTATCGCAGGTAAGGGTATGAAACTGAGGCTTAGAAAAGTTTCTATCACAAACTAGCAATTAATAGTCTGCACTTGAACCCCCACAGCCCATGCTCTGCCCCAGGCCTCTCGCCTCCCCGTGTCCCCCATTCCTTCTCCCAGGGTCCCCACCCTGAGTTCCTCACCCCAGATGACTAGTCAGGACAATCCGTTTTTTCCCAAAGTAACCAGAGGACGCAGGTGGAGGAGACAGGCTAGGCCACGGCAGAAGCACCTGGTTAAAGGGAGAGTCATCCCGGGGCAGACAGGAGCCGGTGGCCCCAGAGGACGCCCTTTCTATCATCCTTCCCCTGACAGACTTGCTTCATATGATGCGAACCTCACCACAGCCCCCGAATGCAGGTGTGAGGCTTCCCCAAGGCACAGACTGAAAGCCGAGGCTTGAGACAGCGGGTTCCTGTCGCCAGGTCCAGGGCCTGAGCGGCCCAGCTCCCTGTGGGAATGAGGTGCACTGGGTGACGAGACCGGAAACCACAGGACTCAGAGCGATGCCTCCTGACTCACGTCCAGGGGCCTCCGTCCCACTTAAGGGTTCCTGTGCCCTTAAGGGGATAGGAGAAGTGATATGTGCCTCACCACCCAAGAGTCTCCCTCTGCCAGAGGAGGGACGGCCGTACGTTCCTTTTAAATGAAAACTCCTTTCAATGCCACAGCCCTAGCAAGATCCAGTTTTCTGCCCCAGGAAAGCTCCTGAGTGGGATATATTGGGAAGAGCATGGCCACTGGCACCAGGGAGGCATGGCCTAGAATCCTGGTTTGGTCACTGGTATATTGGCTGTGTGACCTTGGGCCAGTTACTTAAGGTCTCTGTGCCTGTTTCCTCATCTGTGAACTGGGGGAAATCACCTACCTTTCAGGCAGCGCATGTGAGAGGCTAGGCCAATAGAAGGCCCTCACTTAATCCTAGCTCCCTCCTCTCCTGCCTCGCCACCACCTTCCGTTCTGCCCTCTGGCCCTGCAGCTTCACAGACATCTCCCTCTTCTGACTGCCTACAAGGCAGCTTCCCAGCTCTGCCTAATAATAGCTCTTTATTCCATTAGGAGAACATCACAAAAAGCAGTGCTTTCCTCTTTGGGGCAATTAGAGTAATTAGCATTGCTTTGTGCCGCCCTCCTGTTTTCCTTGAAAATTCTTGCTGGAGGAGAGGCTGCTGGCAAGAGTTTCCGCAGAGCTGCTGGGGGAAGCCCCACTCCCTGTGCTCCGGGCAGGACCTCCGGATCTGCCTCCTCCCGGGACCACCTGGCCTGGGCCTTGGTGTATCATCTCAGATGCCAGCCACCTGCCCAAAGGTGGCCTGAGGTGGCCCCTGGCCTAAGCCTGAGCCGGAGGGGCTGGCCCTGTGGCATCTCAGGGTGAGTGAGGAGACAAAGGCCAGGCTGCCTCCCAGTGTGGGTTACCATAGGCAGGGGACTCAGCCACCCCAGGGGCCAAGTCAGAAGGCTTCTGGGGCAGAGACCTAGCCCAGGGTCTCTGGATCTTCATGTCCCAAAGGAAAGGCCAGCTGGCTTCTAGAACTTATTAGCACAGGCGTGGCATAAAATAGACACTTAACAGGAACAATGGTAGCCAGCATGTGCCAGGTACTGTTCTCCATGCTTCGCAGATCTTAGGGCGCTCCCAGGAAGTAGGGCTAGGAAGCCCATTGTAGAGATGTGGAAACTTAGGCTGTGGGAGGGGACACTGCATGTGAGAGGCAGAGCCACATGAATCCGGGGAACCTGCCGCAGAGCCTAGGCTCTTGCCCATGGCATTCCTACTGCACACACACACACACACACACACACACACACGCACACTCCCCTACCTCTGTGCTGTCCCATCAGTGACCTCTCCCTCTAGGTCAGGGAGCCTGGTACATGTATTGTCTCATTGAAGCCTCACAAAAGGTCACGTGGTATAGGTGTCTCTATTAGCCCCATTTTGCAGATAAGGAAACTGAGGCCCAGGAGGAAAGGAGCTTGAAGGTGCCCGATAGGCTTGAAAGGAGGTGTTGGGCAGGCAGAGGTGGGAAGCAGCAGCTTGTTTGGGCAAGTCGAGGCATCTTGCAAGGCAGGAAGCAGGAAGTGCTGAGGTCCATTCATACTGTGTGGATCCATAACAGTGAGCACCCACAATGTACAGGGCTGGCCCTGGGGAGCAGAGGTGAGTTAGAAGTGGTCCCCGTGCTCGCTAAGCTCAGTCTATCAGAGAACACAAGCGTGTAAGCAGATGAAAATGATGGGGTGCAATGAATACTGCCACAGGGAGCCCGAAGAGGGACCCTAACCAGCGTGGGAAGGTCTAGGCTGACTTCTCACACCAGTGGCACCTAGCATGTAATGAGGCGAGAGGCAGATTTCAATCAAGACAGACAGGGAGATGATCATAGGCTGAAATCTTTTTTAATTATTATTTATTGATTTCAGAGAAGAAGGGAGAAGGAGAGAGAGATAGAAACATCGATGAGAGAGAATCACCGATCAGCTGCCTCCTGCATGCTCCCTTCTGGGGATCGAGCCCAAAACCTGGCCACGTCCCTGACCAGAACCGAACCCGGGACCCTTTAGTCCGCAGGCTGACATTCTATCCACTGAGCCAAACCTGCTACGGCTAAGCTGAAATCTTGATCCAACATCAGCCACGCCAGAACTTTCCACTGCTAAAGATACTCTTTTCCCGCCCGCCGCCCACCTCCCCCCTGCTTCCCCCCTCCCCCTTCTCCTCCCCCCTCCCCCATCTATAAAACTGGAGCTCCGCCAGCGAGTTCTCCCCCTGGGTCTTTGCAGAATGGCAGCTCAGGAACAGGGTGGGCTGGAACCCAGACCTGTGGCCCCCAAGGACCAGAGCTGTGCCTTCTAGGAAGCTGCACAGCGAATTTCTGTCTGGAATCAGCTGTAGCCAGTGGCCACAGACATCTCCCTCCGTCCTCCCTGCCTGCCTCCACCCAGCCCTAGCACCACCTTCACTAACATTGGAAAGGGATAGGGAGGCAGTTCTTGCTTGTCCCTGTGGGTCTAGGTTTCTGCTGGCTGGGACGCAGATGTGATGGCTAGAGCTTGGCAGCCACTTTGGGTTCCCACCTAAATCCTCCTAGCTAACGCCCTCCCCTCCACCCCCTGCTTCCAAGGAAACTAAGGTAAGGGAACGTACATTTGTGGCTTGTTTGCATTATATCTTCCCACAGACACCCCGAGGTCATGTGGAGCCCAGAGAGGCGCAATAGCTTGTCCGTGACACATAACATGGGAAGAACAAAGCCATGTGCTGTGCTGGAGGTGCTGTGAGCATCTCCCTAGTTAGTTTATGCCCCTGGAGAACTGTTTTGGGTCCCCCATGGAACATAACAGTAAGAGGGAGCATATACGGGGTCCCTTGGAAATGCCAGGCCCTTGAACTCTTGTAGCTGTCATTCAGGGTGGGTGTGATGACCCTCATTTTACAGATGGGGACCCGGGGTTCCGGATCTCGTAAGGACTCACCCAGTTACTAGTCAGAGACAGAGCCAAGGCGTTTCTCAGGTCCCAAATCCCGGTTCTAATGCCCACCCTCTGTGGAGGCAGCTGCCCCACCATGACCCCCACCCTGTACCCAGGAATCTGAGAGGCCCTTCTGTGTGAGTGCTGTCACTGAACACAATTTACATGTTTTGGTAAAAAAAAAAAAGAACGAGAAGTAGGCAGGTTCTGGTTATGAGAAAATAACACACTGTACAGGGAGCTATCTTTTTGTGTTTTTGAGAAATGGTTTGCATAAGCCAGTGTGATTCAGATGGAAATGCAGATGTTATCAGCCAAGCCTTTGTGTTGCTTCCTAAGGCTCCCCACACCAGCCTCTCCCCACCTCCCCGCTCCCCCCCGGGGTTTCCCTGTCTCTGTTATAAGCAGAGTCTTCCTCTTCAGCCTCGAAGGGAAGCAGACCCCCTACCCTGGGCGGTAAAGCATGGGACTCCAGGGCAGGGAGCAGATCTGAGCTGAGCAGCCTCTGCATGCGGCCTCTCAAGCACAGCACGTGGCTTTGCTCTCCCCGTGCTGTGTGTCATTAAGCAAAGCACCGCCCCTCTCTGGGCTTCACTGCCTCATCTGTAAAATGTGAGTGATTTTTGAGAGAGAGATAAAATGTGAGTGATTTTTAAAAATTTCCTCTCGCGCACTGATTATCTGTGAAGAGAACAGACCTGACTCAAATCTCAGCTCTGATACTTTTCCAGCTGTATGACCTAAGTCACTTTACTTCTCTATGGCTCAATGTCTTCATCTATAATTAGTAGCCAACTCCTATCAAGGAGTACACCCAGTACGTTCATTTTCCGCAACGTATGACGGACCGCCTGTGTGTTGAGCACAGTTCATTATCACAGTTGGGCATCTGGCATTCTATTCACACTTCTGCTGACACATCCGCACACAGTAAACTGGGGGTGTCTCTAGTCTCGGAGGAAGAGGGTGGCACATCTGAGTTCCTGACCCTTGTCTTAGTGAAGATTCGGGTCCAGTTAACCGAGGCCCCTTGGAAGTGGCTTTAACAAAAAGAGTTGATGCTGTCATGTAAGAACAGGACAGAATAGGCTGTTCAGGGCTGGGATGGTGGCTCCATAGTCTTCTGTGGCCAAAATTCCCGGCCTTGCTGCTGTGCAAGCCAGCAGGTGGACTTCGTGAGCTGACTCATGGTCCAACATGGCTGCTGCCGCTCTGGCCATCACGTCAGAGTTCCAGCCAGCAGGAAAGGAAATATGGGGGAAAGGAGAGCACGCCCCTTTTAAAGAGACCTCCAGGCGGTACCACATAACACTGCCGCTTCATTCATCGGCCAGAATTTATCGCAGTGCTATGCTCAGCTGCAAGAGAAGAAGGTGTCCAGCCATCCACTGAAGTTCCATGACTCAGGGAAAGGGGAAGAGTGAGTTGTAGAAGAAGTCTGTGACGTAGCTCTGTTGTCAGGCTGGGGCCTTTACAGCAACGCTCTGATGTAGCTACGCTTGTTGTCCCCATTTTACAGCTGAGGCAAGTGGAGGTCAGAGAATAAGAGCCAAGAGCTAGCCAAAACTGGTTTGGATCAGTGGATAGAACGTCAGCCTGCGGACTGAAAGGTCCCAGGTTCGATCCCGGTCAAGGGCATGTACATTGGTTGCGGGCACATCCCCCAGTAGGGGGTGTGCAAGTGGCAGTTGATAGATGTTTCTCTCTCATCGATGTTTCTAGCTTTCTATCCCTCTCTCTTCCTCTCTGTAAAAAATCAATAAAATATATTTTTTTAAAAATAAAAAATAAATTTAAAAAAAAAGAGCCAAGAGCAGGGTGATGAGCAGCAGAGCCCTTCTGCCACAACTTAAAGCTGCAGAACGAGAACCTCCACGCCGACTATCAGGAGATTCCTTCCTGCCCCCAGAGCAGGACCCAGATTTCATCGTTACTTAATGGGTTTTAGAGCAGCCTTGAACGTAGAGGTTCCCGCCCCATCTGGACTTCAGAGTCATGGAGAGCTGGAGACAGCATGTGTGATGGAGGATGAGGCCCAGGAGCTTAGCTTGGGGCCCTGGGGAGGGCTGGGTTCTGCCCCCCACGGTGCCCTCACGCACTGTCCTCCTGCAGGTCAGCGGCCACTTGGACTATGGCAAGCAGATGGATGTCATCCTGAAGGCCGTGGGCATCCCCACCAAGCCAGGCTGGGACGAAAAGGGGCTTACGATGGCCCCGGGCAACGTGCCCCAAGAGGAGCCTCACCAGGCGGCAACCGCCGCCTCATCGGACAAGACCAGCGACCAGGATGGGCAAACTCAGGGTTCCACACTCAGAGACGCCTCCCAGGTACCCACATCCGCTGACCCCAGCCAACCCCAGGTGCCAACGGGGCTGGACCAACCCGAAGGGGCCTCCCTTCCTGCTGCTGTTGCCTGCCCCGCGGAGAACCCCCAGACCTGCAGCCATGGTGTGAGCCCCAACTCACTGGGCTGCCCCAGTTGTGCCAGCGAGACCCAGGGACCCAGCCCGGGGCTGGATTGACCCCACAGGGGACTGGAGCGGTCTTCCCAGATTTCCATATGTGGCGCTCTTACCCCGCCCACCAGGCTCCCCGCAGGAGCTTGGAAGACTTTCCACCATGAAGTGCCTTTCCTAAATGCAGGCTGTGGGGGTGAAGAGCAAGGAATTGACAGGAGGGGGGGGTTGTAGGGAGCCGCTGGCTCCTCCCCTGCAGAGTCAGCCACGCACAGCTGAGAGCCCTCGGACTCCTCCAGGTCACAGCGTGGGGCTGGCTCCCCATCAGGAGGTCCGGGGGGCTCTTTGGGGCCTGAGGTTCCTACCTGCCACTCCCCCACACACACACACCCCTCCATCTGCCTGCCCTCCTTCCACTCCAGGGCTGCCCACCAGCCCACGGGCACCTCTGACACACCTACGGAGTGGGCACCAGAAGGAGCAGGCATCTCGCTCCCTCTGCTCTTGGGAGAGCCGATCAGACGTGGGCTGTGCACTGTGCAACGACAGGGGTGCCAGTCACCCCGATGCTATGAGAGAGGCACCCCCAAAGCTGTACCGCATGGCGGCCCTGGATATAACTGTTACAGAGCATGGCGAGCAATGCTGAATCCGCGTGCGGTACGGGTGGGAGCTGGGCCTGGTAGCAAGAGTGGGTGATGCAGGGGAAGGATTGCCTGTAGCAGGAGCAGAGGGGGTGGTGATGGTGAAAATAAAGAAGGGCTACCACCCAGCGAGTATTGACCATGGATTGCCTCAGTTGGCCCCTGCAGCAACCCGATGAGGCAGCTACTACCGTGTTTCCCCGAAAATAAGACCTAGCGCATGGAAAGATAAGACATCCCCTGAAAATAAGACCTAGCGCAACTTTGGGAGAAAAAAATTAATATAAGACACTGTCTTATTTTCGGGAAACAGGGTAGTATCATTTTCATTTTATACCTGTAGCCACTGATGCCCAGAGAGGTCAGGTGACCTACTCAAGGTCACACAGCTGGTCCATCTCAAGAGTGGGCCTCTGGAGCCCAGCTCTTAGCCATTGTACCAGGTGCCAGTGGGTCTGGACCAACCTGGAGGGGCCTTGCTTCCTGCTGCTGCCTGCCCTGCAGAGAACCCCCAGACGTGCAGCCATGACGTGAGCCCCAACCCACTGGGCTGCCCCAGCTGTGCCAGCAGGATCCAGGGACCCTGCCCAGGGCTGGACCCTACACCTCTAAGGACCTTCCCCTTTGTTCCTCCCACTGCCCATGAGTGACAGGGCCAGAGGTCATCCCACACCCATTGTGCAGATGGGAAAATCAAGATCCACACAGAGAAAGTGTTGGCAAGCTCGGGAGCAGGTAGTGGGGAGGAGAAACGGGAGGAATTGGTGTTGGAGCTGAACTGGTCCTCAGGGGCATGTGTATTTGTTCGCTCATTTAATAAATATTTACAGAACTCTTGCTGCCATTAATCCAGACAGCTCATGGGAAACTGAGCCCCTGAGAGGGTAGGTGGCTTGGCTGAGGTCCCAGAGCAAACTAGGGGCAGAGTATGGACATGAACCCAGGTCCCTGTGCCAGGGTCTCTTCCCACTTCCATCAGCAGCATCCCTAGCCCGAGTGGCCCCTCCAGCGGACCCAGTCCACACTCCCGTGAATCCAGTCCACACTGCAGTCGCTGCGGTCAGCTAATGTTTAATGATAATCCACTCGAGCAGGCCTGGGGCAGAGGGGAAGCCCCAACAAGCACCATGGACCCTCTGCAGCCCGTGGCCAGCAGCCAAGGCAGGAGTCTAATCAGCACCAAGGAGAGTGCCCGGCCACCTGCGGAGAGCCCCCTAGGAGTGTGGGCTGATGGAACCTGGTGCAGGTGGGGAGTAAGAAAAACCTCAGGCTGAAGATTAAAAATGGCAGCAGGGTACATGGATGCTGCACAGACACGGACACGCTCTCAGGAAAAACCTCAGACTGAAAAGGAACCTATAGCAGGCAAAGTCACTGAGCACTCCCTCAACAACAAAACAAACAAAAAACCCAGGTCCCTGTGCCGGAGGTCACTTGCCTGCTCGAGGCACCAGCCCACACCAGGGACAGCTCCTCTTCAATCTGCTGACCTGAGTGGCCACCACTCCTTCCCCCACTGACCCAGGAAAGGAGGGAGGGCAAGGGGCTGGTTCTGTATCAGTAGGTCCCCTTCTAGGTCCAACGAAGCCCAGGGCAGAGGACACCCATCCCAGATGTTGGGCAAAAACCACCAGCCACCCCTGTGCCTCAGGAGAGGCAGGGCCGTAGCCTGGGAGCTGGGATGGGCTGAAGAAGAGGAGGAAGATGGGGGGGGGGGGGACAATGGGAACAAATGGCCCTTCCTGGCCCATAGCCAGAGGCCAGGGGACTGAATGGCCAGGAGGTTTAACAACCTCAGGTCCCACCCACTATCTGCCGGGTACTGGCATCTGATGCTATTGTCCCAGTTCTCAGGACAGCCTACGAGGCAGGCATCCCTGCCCCAGGTTGCACATCCCACAACAGGCTCAGAGAGGTTAAGTCGCCCGTGCAGAGCTAGTCAGTAATGGGCAGGGATTCCAGTTGAGGCTGGCCTGGCTCCCAGGCGCAGGGGCTCCCTGGGAGGCCACACACCTCCAAGGGGCTGCCTGGTCCAAAAACTGTCCAGCAAACCATCCTCAGGGTTAAAGTTCAGCTAACCAGCACACCTCAAACCATGCGCACACACGAGTCCCTGGGGACCTCGCTCACATGTAGATTATGCCTTGGCAGGTCCAGAGTGAGGGCAGAGATGTGCATTTTCAGCAAACTCCTCAGAGACCATGTCCATGAACTACAGTCAGAGGAGCAAAGGGCTCAGCCTGCACTGACCCGTCTCTGCAAATGTGTGATCTGATAGAATGCAAAAGCCATGGTCTTTGTCCTAATCTGAGCCAAGGGCCCCTCCCCCGCTCCCAGAGCCCTCCCACCATTCTCTACACAAGTTACACCCAGCAGAGCAGCATCCTGGAGACACTGCATGAAGGCAGCGATTACCCCGCAGGTGGAGGCCTGGTGCGGGTAGTGGGGCTGACTCAGGGCCCCCACCAGAGTTCAGAGGGCTCCCGAGAGACCTGCAGCCTCCTGGCCTCAGCCAGGAGCTAGCCCCAGGCCTGGGGGCTTGGTTTCCCCCAGCCCAGCTCCCCCCTGACACCCCAACCACAAGCCCCCTCAGTTCGTGGGGGCACCCAGCAGATGCAGCCGCAGCTGGGGCTCCGTGGGGTCCCTGTTGAAGAAGTTGACGGTGGCCGAAGTCCTGGCCGGCGGCAGGGTGTCCCCGGTGGCCTCTCCCGGCAGCAGCAGCCGGGCCGGGAGCTGCAGGCCCGAGGAGCCCCCTGAGCCTGAGTCAGGGTCGGAGTCGGAGTCCGGGGGCAGGGGCAGGGGCAGCACATGCTGCAGGCTCAGGCCCGGCCGGGCGCCGCTGTGGGAGGTCCGCATGGAAGGGGAGGCCGCGCTGGCCCGGGGCTCCTGGGGCCAGTGGGGGCAGGGCAGCAGCTTGCCCAGGGCCCGCTTGAAGTCCCGCATGAAGAGGGGGTAGATGATGGGGTTCATGGTGCTGTTGCAGTAGCCCAGCCACGTGAGGACATCGAAGAGGCCTGGCGAGACGCAGTCGCACACAGCCTGGAGGGAAGGGTGCGTCACGTCTGGTGTCGGGGCAGGAACACAGACCCCCCCTACCCCCAACCCAGCACAGCCGGGGCAGACCCAGCCAAACAGCCCATGAGCAGCAGCCCACCTTCCTCCCTCCGTGACTGGGCTGCGGTGGGGCTTGGGGGCCTCCCCAGCGAGGCCTGGACTCCCCTGCCCCCTCCGGTGGCATTACCTGGGCTATGTTGGCCACAAAGAAGGGCAGCCAGGTGACAAAGAACATGCCCAGCAGGATGCCCAGGGTCAGGCTGGCCTTCAAGGCCTTCCTGCTGTGCTTGGTGGCCAGACGCCTGCCGTCAGCTGACTCCATCCGTGGACGTGGGGTCCTGGGCGCCTGCGGAAAGGAAGGTCACGTGAGTCAGTGGAGAGAGAGAGAGGGCCCCGGCCTGACCCTGATCCCCTCCACAGACCGAGCCTCAACCCTAATTCTAGACTGGACCCCAGTATCAGCAATAAATTGAGTCCTGATCCTTGACTCAGTCCTGATCCTTGACTCAGCCCCAACTCAGCCCTAACCTGAGGCCTGACCTGACTCCAGATCAAACCCTGCCATCAGCCATGAACCAAGGACTGATTGATCCCTGAAGGCTTCCATAGACTAAGTCCTGTATAACCAAGGTGTCAAACTGAGCCTCAACCGGGGACCAGACTGAGCCAACCTTGGCCCCAGACTGAGCCCTGACCCCAGCGATAGACTGAGCCCTGATCCTGACCCAGCTCTTCCCAAGGAGCTCTAGGAACTAGTGAGACAGAGCGACACAGCCCCAAACACAAACCAGTTCCAAAGACCCACGCTCCATGCAAAGGACAGCTCTGCACGGGCCAGCAGGCACGACCGTGAGCCCCAGGACCTCCCAAAGCCTTTGGCGCTACAAGACTTGATTGCAGCCGGGACCGGTTTGGCTCAATGGATAGAGCGTCGGCTTGGGAAAGGAAAGGTCCCGGGTGCGATTCCGGTCAAGGGCATGTACCTTGGTTGCAGGCATATCCCCAGTAGGGGGTGTGCAAGAGGCAACTGATTGATGACTCTCACCGATGTTTCTGACTCTCTCTCTCCCTTCCTCTCTGTACAAAAATCAATAAAATATATATATTTTTTTTTTAAAAAAAAAAGAATTGATTGCAATTGAAGAGTATTTGACAAGAGCCCCTGTTGCTGTCCAGGACGTGGCAATCTCTTTGTATATGGGTTCTCCTCATGGTTTGGAGTAAGGTTTTGTTTGCTTGCACTGTTACCCTCACCCTCCACAAAATAAAGTGCTATTTTGAAAACATGTGCAGACAGCAAACGTTTACAATGAAATGTATTATAATTTGCTCGTGACCTTGGCATTGCACAGCTCAGATTATGTGTGCGCTGGCAGACGTCTCCATTCCCGAACACAGAACTGAAGAGCAGGGGTGTGGAGAGGAAGGGGGAGAACGGAGCTGCCCCACAGCAGCCATCTGAAGGGGGACAGGGGCATTAGATTATGACTTTGAAAACTGGGGGTCCGCAGCCCCAAAACATGAAAATGTCTCCCTGAACTGGATGATCCTTCCACCCAGAAGTTCCCATAACTGTTTCAACCTCATGAGCTCACTGAGAATCTAATGAAATAGACACTACTCCCCAGAAAACTAAAAGCTTCTCCATTTTTACACATAAATGTGTAAAAAACAAAAAAACAAAAAAAAAATAAAAAAACAAAAAAAACATTCCCATACTTCCAGGAGCTTCTGAGACCATCATGAACCGCTGAGGGTCCATGGAGTCCTCCCCTAAACCACAGGTTATAAGCAATTTGGAATTTCATATATAACATGTACACAAAGTGAGACCTGCCTACAGAATGCCCCAACATTTCCTAAACTGCAGCTTAGTTCATGAGGCAGCCAGGAGTGGGTTGGGTATAGAGAGATGACAGAGTCAAAAGGAGGCAATAAGGGAACCAGATTCCCAAGCAACCTTCCCAAATGGAAAGGGGGCGGAAGAGACAAAGCCAGGATGTGTCAGTCCCATCACATTAGCACAAAAGTCAATCCCCCCACGTGCTCTCAGATTCAGGACAGCCCACCACCACCACCACCACACACACACACCTTCCAGCCTTGCCTTTCCCAGCCTCCTCAAAGAAGCAGGGTCTTTGTTCCTGTCCATGGTGCTGAAACACCAGCTCCCTACTATCCACCTTTAGGATCAGGGGTCTGATTCTGAAATGTCAATGGGCAGGAGGGGAGACATGAAGCACAGGGCAACTGCCAGCCCTCGGTGTGTTTGCCCAGGTGAAGCCTGGTTATAGGATTATCAAGGACAAATTCACAAAGAGCAAACAAAGAGAGCCCCTGCTCCCTCCCTCTTGCCTCCATGGGGCAGCGTTGGGCAGAGGCAGAGCTTTCAAGACAAGGGACCTGGCTTCAAACCATGCCTCTACCACTTACACTGTGGCCTTGAGTCTCTGTTCCCACATCTGTAAAGAGAGAGGAACAACTCAGCATACGGAGTTGCGGTGGGGCTGGGTTAATAAATGCATGCACAGTGCCCAACACAAAGTGCTACGTACATACATGGTAGCCCCGATGTGAGCTCAGGGTGAGTGTATGAGGTTGGAGAAATTTCAGCACCCTCAGGAGCCGGGCCCTTCTGCCAGCAGCTCTGGCTCCCCAAAACAGCACAGACATCAGAACAAATGCTCTGACTCACCGCGCTGTGGCGAGGCAGAAGGGCAGGCAGGCGGGGGTGGGGATCTGCTTTCCTCTTTCCTCTTCTCGTTTTCTCTCCTCCAGAGTGGTCTCCACATGGCTTGTGTGGCCCCACTATGGTCATCCAGGAGGAGAAGCTCCTGCTTCCCCCAAAGAATCTCCTCGGAGCTGTCATGCCTTCGAATTGATGCCATCAATGGGGACAGATCATAGGGGAGGAGGAGCCACCATCTCCAAAAGCCCCCCCCCCCTGTACAGGAACCCCTCTGAGACCTGGTGACCTGGGGCAGGAGAGAGGCAAGAGAGAGCCTTAGTCCTGTCAGAGCTCCAGGGCATGGGCACTAAGGGAGAGACCTTGGGGGCAATCACCAGGGGAGAAAGCTCTGGAAATGGAGTGACAGATCATCTGAGACTCCCTCTCTGCTCTCCCGTGGAAAAGAAACAATCGTGGGCATTTTTTTTTCTGCTCTCCTCCCCAACGAGTTGACCCAAGAACACAGGCAGAAGGGAAGAGAGGAAGGAGGGTTCCTTCCCAAGGTCATATTGTGCCAGAACAAGGACATGAGCCAAAGCATCAATGACCCCAAATCGGCACTGTGACCCCATTTATTGAGCGCTAACTATGCCCCAGCATTTGATATCCATGGTGCCGTTCCATCTTTCCAGGAGGAGCGTGCTATTATCTCCATGTTGCAGAGGAGGTTCAGAGAGGCAAAGTAACCGCAGATTTGTGTTGAGTCAGGGGCCAATGTCATTCTGGCTCCAGGATCTGCACTCCTTCCGCTTCACCATCCCGCTGCCATTTGGGGGGGATGCATCCATGGGCCATAGTCAGGGTGGGGCTGCAGAAACCCTGCTGCTGTCACCAAGAGCCCCTCACAGGGCAGGAGCCAATGGTAACCGTCAGCCCACACTCCGGGCTCTGGTTGATGCCAGCCTCCCCCTCCCCACTCCTCTCTGCCCCATACCCACCTCATGGCCCCTCGTGGTCACATTGTCTCCACATGTCCCTTATATGTGTCCATGACAAGTGTGACTGTCAGAGGGCAGCCTCCTGGAGCAGCGGTCCCCAACCTTTCAGGCCTCATGGGCCACCAGTTGGTGACCACTGACCTGGAGGACAACCTGGCAGTGCCTTCCCAGTGGCCAATTTCGCTCACGGGTGACTATATCCATAAGCACCCGCACAGGTCTGCACCCTCAGCAGGTATAAGAGGGTGTCCCACAGCATTATTCGTGATAGAGAAAAAAAAAAAAGGCAGAAATGGCCTAAATGTCCATCAGAAGGAGAGCGGTTAAATAAACCATGGCACATCCCACTGCAGAATACTAACAGGCTTCAAAGAAGTCATGTCCTGCCTGGCTCAGTTGGTTGGGTGTCGACCTTCCGCAAGGCACGTCACCTCTCTGTGCCTCCGTTTTCCCGTCTGCAGAATGACAATCACAATAGCATGGACCTCAGATGACTGTGGTAAGAATTAACTGAAGTAAGAGAGTATGCAGTGAGTTACTCAGGCAGAGCCTGGCACATGGTGTGTGCCATGTGTTCGCTATGCTGTTGTTGGCTGTTGTCAGTGTCCAGTTTACCTCTTGGATAATGGTGATGATGAGGATGCTGGTGGCATCGATAGTGTTTTTTCCTAAAAGGCTCAAAAGGGGGTGAGCTCCCCAGAACCATTTTTACCACAAAGGGAAAGGAGAACATTTGTTGAGCACTCTGTGTGCCAAGTGTACATATATCATCTTATTGGTTCTTCTCTCGACCTCAGGTGCTAACTAGCATTACCTCAGGGGCATAGGGAGTTGGAGGACTTGTCTGAACTCATCTGGGTGTGATGGCAGGATTTGAGGCCATGACGTGCCAGACACACAGGCCCCTGCTCCCAGCCCTGGCTCCACAAGGTCGCCTCGGACCCAGCAGCAGCCAAGCCTGCCCTGCTTGACACTGCTCCTCCATCAGCCTCTCCCCAGTCCAGCCCCTCCTCTCCCTCTGAGATATTTCTGTGATCACAGCCTCCCCCTCTGAGGAGGAGGAAGCAGAGATGGAGGAGATGGATTAGTAAGACAGAATGATGCATAGCTGGGTCAGGGAGGGTGGGGAAGCTGGGGAGGAAGGAGGGAAAGGAGAAGAAATTGATGGGAGAGAAGTATGCAGAGGAAGCTGGAGGGACACAGGAGGAAGAAAATGGGGTGAAATGGAACTGAAGGGGAGAAAGACGAGGTACAGAGGAAGACGATGGGGAAGGGGCTGTGGACCGGAGACACGGGATCCTGGCAGACAGAGGAGCTGAGGAAGCAGAAATGGCCAGCAGGGCCTCCTACTCGCACCCCACCACGCTGAGCTCCCTCACGGGTCCCTCTGGAATCTCCAAAGGATGAGCCCCACTCCCACTGGGCCCATTCTCCTCTCTCTCTTCCTCCCAGCCCCTCACCCCCCCCCCCCCCGCCACATTCAGGCAGCCTCTTACTCTGACATCACCACCTCCCACGCCCACAGTCCCTGCCTCAGCTCTAAGCATGACCCCCTTTCTCACAGCCCCTGGGGCCCGAAGGCCGTGCTGAAACCACAGAGCCACACGTGGCTTTTCCAATCCCATTCGCATCAAGATGCAGGTGTGGAGAGGGGAGGGGGAGAAAGAAGGTGCTCGCCCTGCTCAGCTCCCTGATCTCAGCCCAGAGGCCCTGGGACTTCGGGGACCCATGCCCAACTCCCTTGCTTCTGCGGGGAAACCAGAGGCTGGACTGGGGCGGAAGTAAGGGCTAACTGGGGCTGAAAACAGGAGGAAAGAGGCCCAACGTGCCCCGGCTTTTGTTCATTCTCATCAGTTGCTGTAAATCCAGGCACTGAGAGAGCCTCCACCCCCAGACCGGACACTTCTGGTCTCTCAGACAGGACTGTTTGAGTGGGAGTTAAGGGGTCATGACCCAGGAGGCAGGAACAGAGGCCACGTCCCAGAAGCAAAGTCCCAAACGCAGCAATTCTCCGGGCAACATGGACCACGGCACCAGAAGGCCTGCTTAGGAGCCGAGTGGTTTGGGAAGCGAGGGGAGCAGTGGGGTCTGGCTCTTCCACACTCAAGCCAGGAGAAAAGGCCTCCCGGGGAGCAGGAGGAATCAGCACAGACACATTTCTGACGGGAGGGGCCCAGGGACCACGCTAACTGGTAGGCAGGGTGCTGGCCTAAATGATCCATGAGGACACCTCCCAGCACTCGGTTTTAGGACTCCCTGTGCCCTCCTCGCTTCAGTTTGCAAACAGGCACAGCATCTGACAGACTCTGCATGTCCACAGGGTGAGGTGCCCCTCTATAAGACCCACACCCTCATCATGGTAAGGTTTCGTGGTCAATGTCTGTCTCCCGACAAGAACACGAATTCCAAGAGGGCGGGACCTTCTCAGCCCAACTCATCACCACATTCACAGCCTCCAACAGCTCCTGCACACAGTAGGTCCTCAATACATGTAACCAAGCAAATGAGCGGAAGTGCTAAAAAGCCTAGGCTCCATCAGATACAAGAACTGATTGAGGAAGGAGTGGGGGGAGAGGAAGCAGCGTGAACAAGGGTTGAATGGCCAGCTCTGTGAAGCTCTGTGTTAATGTCAGTTCTTCCATCAAGCACCTGGGATGTGCCAGGCACTGGTAGGTGCTGGGAATACAGTAAACTCAGAGAGAAGTCCCCACCTCATAGAGCTCACATTCCAATAGGAGAAATACACAACAAGATAGATAAGTGGGTTCGGCCCTAACCGGTTTGTCTCAGTGGATAGAGCGTTGGCCTGCAGATTGAAGGGTCCCAGGTACAATTCCTGTCAAAGGCATGTACCTTGGTTGTGGGCATATCCTCAGTAGGGAATGTGCAGGAAGCAGCTGATTGATGTTTCTCTCCCTCTCATCAATGTTTCTAACCTCTCCCTTCCTCTCTGTAAAAAATCAAAAAAATATTTTTTTTAATATATTTTATTTTATTTTTATTTATTTATTTATTTTTACAGAGAGGAAGAGAGAAAGATAGAGAGTTGAAACACTGATGAGAGAGAAACATCGATCAGCTGCCTCCTGCACACCCTCCACTGGGTGATGTGCCCCCAAACAAGGTACATGCCTTTGACTGGAATTGAACCTGGGACCCTTGGGTCTGCAGTTCTACGCTCTATTCACAGAACCAAGCCGGATAGGGAATAAAGTATTTTTTTAAAAAAATAAGTGGGGCCGGGACCGGTTTGGCTCAATGGATAGAGCATTGGCTTGAGGACTGAAAGGTCCCGGGTTCGATTCCGGTCAAGGGCATGTACCTTGGTTGCGAGCATATCCCCAGTGGGGGGTGTGCAGGAGGCAGCTGATCGATGACTCTCATCAATGTTTCTGACTCTCTATCTCTGTCCCTTCCTCTCTGTACAAAATCAATAAAATATATTTTTTTAAAAATAAGTGGGAACGTATGTAGTATGTCAGGGGTGGTGAGTGCTGCTGAGAAAAATAACTCAGGAAATTAGGGCTGAAGGGGAAGTGGGGCAGAAAGTGGTGGATTTACAGAGAAACCATGTGGAGGTGAAGGGAAAGGGCACTCCAGGCAGAGGGAACGGCAAGTGCAAAGGTCCTGAGGCAGGACTGTGCTTGGGCATTCTCAAAGGCCAGCCGAGAGGCCAGTGTGGCTAGAGGAGAGTGAGGAAGGAAAGGAATCCACAGGAGCAGAGCTTCGTGGGGGGCGGGCACGGGCTTGAAGTGGAAAATGGACACCCTGTAAAATAACTGAGCCACAGAGTCGGAACATCCTCTCTCTGCTTACGTCATGAGAGAGCCTCATGTGGATGCTCCTTTGGCTTTACCATCCGTCTAACACTCAACCAAGAGGAAGCCGGCCTCGGCTCCGGCACTGACCAATGAGCTGGTCTTGGGCACACTGCTGGTTCTGCACCCTCCCGGAAGCTGTGTCTGATCGCCTTCTATTTATGGCAAAAATATTGATTTTCCATTTCCGGAAGAAACAAGTTCCCTTCCTAAACAAATGCATGGGAGTAAAAAGATAAATGGAGGTGATTTAAAGGAAATACTAAGCGCATAGGAATGAAGTGGCTTGAAGAGTGAGGGGAGGTAAGGCAGGAACCAGAAGTGGTTCCCTGTGCCTGAAGTTCGGGACACGTTCCTTTACTAGAACCCAAGGAGCGTAGGGCTGGCCCGTGGCGGTTCTTCCTACTGCTAAAGAGCCAAGCCAGGGCCACAGACACCTGCCGAGACTCCAGAATGTCCTCCAATGAACACAGATAGGGGGAGAGAGCAGGCCTGCAGGCAGGACCTCCTGCCCACCCAGCCCCCACCCAATTCCTTATTCACCCAGTGACCCTCAAGGCACCTCCCACCCCATCCTGCAAGAGCCTCTTCCACCTGAAGCTACGCCAAGATGAATCTGGAGAGCCCAGCTTGACACTTCCTCTGGGTGTGACCTAATTCTTCGGGGTTCAGGTCTGGTCAGTCTAAGCCCCCACCCCTCGGGTGGACAGCAGGACTCAGGCAGCATGTGGAGCACCTCCCCCATTCACAATGACAGGAAGCATGAGCGTGTGCAGTGGAGATCAAAACCAACCCAGACATTCCTGTCCTCATGGAGCTTCCATTCACGTGGGGAGACAGACAAATCATACAGGTCAACAGCCAGTTAGGCAGGACGTGGGTCCACAGAACGGCCTCGAGCGGGAAGTGACCTGTGAGCTGAGAAAGTCAGGCAAGGGGAGCTGTGGGGGGACAGTTTCCAGGCAGAGGGAACAGCAAGTGCAAAGACCTTGGCCCAGAAGTCAGCCTGGCGCCTTCAAGGAGCCGCCAGAGAACCATGTGACTGGTGCAGAGAGAGGGAGGAGGGGAGGTGAAGTGGGAGAGGTTGGCAGGACAGGTTCCTGAGGCCAGATCCTGACATGGACACACACACACACACACACACACACACACACACACACACATACTAGAGGCCCAGTGCACAGGGAGTGGGCCTAATCCGCCAGTTGAGCATCCCCTGAAGGGTCCTTAGCACCACTGGGGAGGTGAGAGAGGCTCCTGCCATAGCCACTGTGCTCACCAGCCATCAGCTCTGCTTCTGGCTGAGGGGCACTGCCTCTGTGCGAGCACACTGACCACCAGGGGGCAGCTCCTGCATTGAGCATCTGCCCCCTAGTGGTCAATGTGCTGTTCAGTTGATTTGCATATTAGGGTTTTATTATATAGGATACACACATACTCACACACACACTCACACACACACACACACTTTTTAAAATTGATTTTAGAGAGGAGGGAGATAAAAATAGAATATCAATGATGAGAGAGAATCATAGATTAGCTGCCTCCTGCACACCCTACACTGGGGATTGAGCCCTCACTGGGAATTGAACTGTGACCTCCTGGTTCATAGGTTGATGCTCAACCATTGAGCCACGCCAGCCGGGCTGGGTCTCCTCTTTACCTTGACAACAACAGGGAGCCATTGGAGGGTTTGCAGCAAGATAGTGCCAGAGTCACTCTTTTTCTCTCCTACTCTGACTCCTGTGCGGGAAATGGAGGGGAGCGGGTCTGGAGGAAGCAGGGGGCCCACGGGAGACTCTCAAAGGCCCCAGGTAAGACGCAGCAATGGCTTGGCTTAGGAGGCTGGCATTGAGATGGCCCGTGAGTGAAAGACAACACCAGCAAGTCTCACTAATGAGACCCACGATCAAGGGGAGAAAATCATCCCTATGTTTCTGGCCTGGGATGTCATGTCGGTGCCACCGCCATCATGGGGGAGACCCAGGAGCCAATGGGAGGCTTGGGTACCCTGAATTCCCTCTTGCAGGTGTCACCTCCCAGCAGCCTGCCGCACGCCGCATGCAGCTGTTCTGTGGACAGGCCCGCACCGAGTCTGGAGTTCAGAGGAAAGCTGGGGGTGGCGACTCGGACCTTGCCAGCGAGTGTATACATACTAAGAGACAGACGCCCCAGGAGGTACCCAGGGGCTGCTCCTGTCTCTCCAACCCACCAGCCCCATCTCCCCGCGCACCCCGGTACCTGTGACGGCTCCGAGGCCTGGCCCGTGGCCGCGCCGGTGGCGAGGGAGGCCACCTGCAGGGCCTGCCTGCGGGCCGCCAGCAGGATCCGGCAGTAGGTGAAGCAGATGGCGCCCGAGGGCAGGAAGAAGGTGAGGCCCGACGCCACGAGCACGAAGGGCAGGCTGGCCAGCAGGCGGCACTGGCCCGGGGCGGGCGCCCGCGCACGGCCCAGCTCGTGCCAGCCCAGCAGCAGCGGCAGGAAGGAGGCGAGCGCGGCCAGCGACCAGGCGCCCAGCACCAGCGCCAGGGCGCGCGCGGGCGTCATGCGCAGCTTGTAGCGCAGCGGCGACAGGATGAGCAGGTAGCGGTCCAGCGAGATGAGGCAGAGGTTGAGGATGGAGGCGCTGCAGCACATCACGTCGAAGGCGGCCCAGAGCCGGCACAGGCCCCGCGCCAGCACCCAGCGCCCGTACAGCGCGTTCAGCATGGCCGGCGGCATCACCACCAGCCCCACCAGCAGGTCGGACGCGAAGAGCGACACCAGGAAGCAGTTGGACGTGTTGCGCAGCGCGGGCTGCGAGCCGATGAGGCCGATGAGCAGCGCGTTGGCCGCGGCGGTCAGGGCGATGACCACACACAGCGCGGCCGCCACCCAGCCGCTGCCCCCGGCGCCCGGCGCCGGCCCCGACCCCCAGGCCGGGGTGCTGTTGTGCGCGGGGCCCGGCTCTGGCACCATCGGGGCGGCCGGGCCCTGAGACCCACGAGGGGAGTCCTGAGGATGGCGAGGACCTGACGGTGCGGAGCCTGGAGGGGCGTCCTGGGTGAGATCAGACCCCTCCCCCGCCTCTCTGGACAGGTGGGAAGAGAGGGATGGGGAGATGGGTCCAGGGCAGGGACCCAGGAGGATGAGAGGGGTCTATCCGGCAGGGGCACCCGGATAGAAAGGTAGGAAGTTTGGGAGGGGCCCCTGATGGGGAGCAGAGCGCCTCACAGGGCGCAGGATGGCTCCTGGAGGGTCAGCGGGTGAGCGCAGGGGCCCCTAGAAAGGGCGGTGGGATGGGGGAAGGGCCGGGCCCCGGGGAGGTAGGCGCAGAGGGCAAAGGGGCGCTCCCGAGGCCGGTGTGCGCTGGTCCAGGGCCGTGGCGCTCGGGGTCGCGGGGTGGGGCCCCCCGCGGGGAAGCCCAGGGTGGTCTGCCCGGCCAGCCGGCGGGGACAGAGCAGCGGCGACCGCGCCTCCGTCCCTCCCCTCCGGCCGCCTGGCCTCCGCCCGCTCCGCCCGCGCTCGGTACCTGGGCGCTCGGCGCTGCTCCGCCGCCGGGACTGCGGCAGCCGGGCCCGCGGGGCTGCGGGGAGCGGCCGCCCTCCGGGCAGGCGCCCAGGGAGCCGGGAGGGGCGCGGGGCCGGCACGCGCGCAGCCGGCGGCGCTACCCGAGGCGCGTGGTCCTCGCTCCGCGGAGCCTGCGCCCCTCCGAGCGGGGGGCGGGGAGATCCGCGCCCTCGCCTCGCGGGCGGGCGGGGCCCCGGCACCCCAGGCCTGTGGAGGGTCGATCCGAGCGCCCTCGCTGCGGAGGTCGCCTCCCCAGCGGTGGCAGCCTCCCCGGCCCCGCGCACCCTTCCCTGGCCCCACACACACCTCTCCGGCCCCCCGCACCCCTCCCCGGCACCGCTCACTCCTCCCCGGCCCCCCGCACCCCTCCCCGGCCCCGCTCACCCCTCCCCAGCCCCCCGCACCCCTCCCCAGACCACACGTGGCAGCGGCGCAGGAGGAACTCGGGGGAGGAGGCTGTGGCCCGCCTCTACCGAGGACAGCCCCCCAAGGCGAGTCTGCGCGCCCGCCCGCAGCCCAGGCACCGCACTGTCCGCGGGAACCCAGCGGAAGGTATTGGACAGATCACTGGACACCCGCATATGTGCACACACATATACACACATGCACACATATAATACAGATAATGCATACCCATATTCCCTCAGACCTCCAGGTAAGCAGCAGGTCCCCTCCTCCTGGGGTCCTTCCAGCCCTTTCCCCTCCAACGTCAGGCGCTCAGGAAGCAGCCCCCGGCCTGCTGGCACTCCGGAGTGTGGACAGATTTGGGAAACTCCAGGCCAGGTGCCGGGGGTGGAATCACTGCAGGCAGAGGGGTGGGTGTGGCCCCACTGTGTATCTCTTCCCCGGGGCTGAGAGTCCCCATCACACTTCACAGATTAATACTGTGAAACACTTACTGAGCACCTGGTGTCAGATACTGTTCTGACCCGTGGACACACAGTAACCAAGACAGAGACCCCAGCTCTGTGGAGTTTACATTCCAGCGGAAGGAGACTTGCTAGAGAAAAAAAAACGGCCATGGAGAGCAATATAAAGGAAATGTAGAGAGTGTGGGCAGAGGTGGGGCGGGGGGAGGACATGTTCCTTCCCCCCCACTCCCATAGAAACTGAGAAGCCATGCCTCTGAGCGGGAGGAATAAAGGTCCCTCTGCCTTTCCAGGTCCTTCCAGCTGGTCTCATAATCACATTGACGTGGGGCAGATTAACAAGAGAAAATAACCGAATTGAATTGCGTATGCACGTATGGGAACCCCGCCCGCATCAGGGTTCAGAGACAGACGGGGCAAATGGAGTCTCTGTGACATCTGAGCTGAGGGCGAGGTTAGGGCCGCCGGCTTCAGAGGGCGGAGGGCCCTTCACAGATGGGTAAGGAGAGCAGGTGCTCAGTAATCAGATGTTCGCCCTGCCATACAGTGAGGTCAAACAAAAGGTTATTTCTGATGATAACCAGTATTATGGGCAGGGCCCAAATTTAAATTTTTTAAGGGAGAGGTCCATGTTTCTCTTGAGCCCAGAGGGCCTTCTGCTCAAGAGAACATGCATACTACAGAGGCGCATCCTGCAGCAATTTCCACATGTGAGTCCTGCTATGTTCCAAAGTCTCCGTTACATTGTTCTGACTATAAAAATGCTGAGAGAGATGCTACACGGGGGTTCAGAGCCTCACCCAAGTGGAACTGAAACCTGGGTCTGCTCAACACCCCAAACAGAAAAACCTTTAGACCCTATAGCACCCTTGAGCCACCCATGAGCCACTGTATTTGTTGCTCAGAGCCCCCATCTTACCCACAGATCAGTGGATGCAGCTGGGGGAGGAGGCCTGTTGTCCCTCCCATACCACCTGCACCACCCCTACCTACAGTTTCTGCCAGGCCCAAAGGAATAGGGTGTCGTATATCAAGCATGTGGTGAACGTCATAAAGACCAGACCTGGGATCCCATTTCTGTGGCTCACCAGCTCTGTGGACTTGGGGCCAGCGGCTCCATCCCCTTGAGTCACTATTTTCTCATCTGCAATTTTTCGCATGTCAGTTTGATGACTGGACCAGCTGGGAGAACCTAGAAAGGGAGAGGAGAATTTCTTCCTGCCACCTCACCGGGTTGTTGAGGGGAGGACGTGACTCTGGTGTAATCTGTGAACTTGATGGTGCTGTGTCAGTGCTAGCTGTTGGCCTCAGTCTTCCCATCTGAATAATGGGAATGCATTCAGCTCCGCAGAAAATCCTTCGGTCCAGGAATTCCTGGCTGGCCAACAGCAAACCTATGATGCAGTGTGCACAGCAGATCTTGGAGCACAGTGACTTGGGTTCAAAATCCTGATTCTGCTCCTTGCTCTGTGAACTTGGCAAAGCTGCTTCAGTTCTCTGCTACTCTGAAATTGGGGTGGTAAAGATGTGGACAGAATGAGCATTTAAACCATTCCACCCATGGGGGCTGCCTGATCAATTTTAGCTTTGAAAAATTCACGGACTATAGTGAAATAGAATATTAGTCCCTCTGCTTTAACATTTGCTGTAATGTTTGATAGCCTTTATTTAAAAAAATAATAATATAATAAAAGACCTAAAGAAAACATGACAAACACGTTAATATTTGTTCATTCTGGGTGACAGAGTCACAAATGTTTGTTATATTATGATCTGTACTTTGCTATAATTTAAAATATTTTTTTTTCAAGATTGGGCCTGGGTAGTGGTGCCACCTAGTGGCCATGCTGTTACTAGCTTGAATTTCAGAACTTTTCAGAAGTTCTTCCTGTGTGTGCTTCTCAATCTATCATTTCATGATAAATTAATAATGTCCGAGCTGAAATCGGTTTGGCTCAGTGGATGGAGCGTCGGCCTGCGGACTGAAGGGTCCCAGGTTCGATTCTGGTCAAGGGCATGTGCCTCGGTTGTGGGCATATTCCCGGGGAGTGGGGGGGTGCAGGAGGCAGCTGATTGATGTTTCTCTCTCATCCATGTCCCTAACTCTCTATCCCTCTCCCATCCTTTCTGTAAAAAATCAATAAAATATATATTTTAAAAAAATAATGTCCGAGACTTCCTTAACACTTTAGGGTACAGAGGGCCTTCGAAGATGCTTAGGGTGGCTACTCCTAGCCACGGGCTGCTCTCTTCCTAGAGAAGGCGGGTGATGAAAGGAACAGCTGAGCCTTAGGGCGTCCTCTGCCCCAGGCCTCCGCTTTTGTCAGCACCTGGAGAACCCAGAGAGCTCCTGTTACAGACATGGGACACCGCGGTCCCGGGAGGGTGTGACCTGCACAAAGCTGCCCTCGCGGAACACATCAACCGAATGAGTGAACTGCATGATGGGCCTGTTGGTTTTGCTCCCTGCTGTATCCTCAGCACATGTCAGGCTGTCAGTAAATACATGTCCAATGAGCGCATGAACAAAACCATCAGCCCAAAAAGCCGTTATGGGCCGATCGCTCATGCTCAATATTTTAGTGGTGGCTGGCAGTTACCAAGGTCTTCTATCCTCCAGACACTGTGTCAAGCTTTACACGTACATTGATGGGTGGAAAGCTGTGCCATGACCCTGAGAGGGAAGAAGATGTGGTCATGATTCCCCGTGTTAACTGAGCCCCGGAGATCCCTAGTGACTGGCTCAGGATCACACAGCTAAAGAGTGGCCCTGCCAGGATTTGAACCCAGGCAGAATGGCTTTTCCCTGAGGCTTGGAGCTAGAGAAAAAATAAAATAGGTGGAGCTTGTTGGCTCCATAAGAGGCTAACCAGGCGGGGAAGCTGGGGCCAATTACCGGCCAGACCCGAGAGGGGCCTGCATGACAGGCCGTGTGCCAGTGCTAATCCCTGCAAAGATTTTAATCCCCTGCGGGTGAGGGGGCGGGGGGGGGGCGCTGCAATTTTTCTTTTCTAAGCCGTTGTGGTTCCGTTTGAGGTTGGCGAAGAGAAAAGCTGGCAGCCACCACTTGACATCTCATTCGGATTGGCAAACACACAGCTAGCCACGCGCCTCCAGGCCCTCCAATCTGTCCCCGCCCACTTGCGGCTCCCAATCCAATCAGCTGCGTCTCAGCGGCGTGGCCCCGCCCCTGCCGTGTGACCCCGCCTTTCCAGACTTTGCTCCTGCCCAACTCTGGCCTCCACCATCTCCTGCCTCAACTATTGCAGTTCCCAGCTGCTCTCAGCCTCCCCCTCTTCCTCCCGCGAGCCTGCTTCTAGTCTTGCTGAAACGCAGACACTTCTGGGGCTCTTCCTGCAGAGAGCATGAGGCCTGGACTCTGACCAGCATTCCAGGCCTGCCACCGGCCCCCCCTCCCCAACCCACCTTCCTGCTGTCTTCCCAAGCAGCCTCTTCACTTCTTTATGTTTCTGTGGATGAATTTATCCCCTGCCTTGTTCCATACACAGGATGGAGGCAGTTCCTGACCAAGACACAGCCGGCCAAGGGCTCAGGTCTCCGAGGCCCAGCACCAAAACCCCAGTAAGCAGGTCTCTCATTTGGACCTGGTCTCTGAGTCCTCGGAAGCCCCCGGGACTTTCTCTGCACCACCGACAGGGTTCTCACCTCTGGCTATATAGAAAGACTATTAATATGGCCAGGACTTGTCCCTACAAGACGGAGGGTCACTGAAGTCTGCATCAGGAGGTGCCATTCTTGAGTTGGGACAGTCATAAATCACAACAGCGGAGGGAGCAGCCATGAAAGAAAGGCTTGGGACACGAAGGAAGTCGTCACTAGGGGGCGCCAGATTGGACTCCCAGGGCTTTAAGGACCTCATTTTTCTCATTAGCAAGATAAGAATTTCCCAGGAATTTGGAATGATGTATGTAAATTGCCGGGTATGCGGTGGTTACAGCAGTGTGTGCGAGGAAGAAAGGAGATCATGGCCCTCACGCTGTCCCCTTCCAAAGGAGAACTGGGATGGGGGAGGAGCCCAAGCTCAGCTGCATGGGGCTAATGTGACCAAATTTGCAGGGTCACCGTGCGGTGTCAGGACCATCCCACAGCAGGTACCTACAGAGCTATTAGCCCAGACTGCCTGGAGTTGAGTCCTATTGGCGACATTTCTTACCTGGATGGCCCTGCAACACTACTTACCCCTCTGCACTTCCCCTGCCTCATCTACAAAATGAGGGCAATGCCCGTGCCACAGAGTGCTGGTGAGGATGGTGAGCTATTTATGTCAACTATTTAGCACAGCACCAGTTGGCATGTGTATGTGTGTATATGTGTGTGTTTAGCACAGCACCAGTTTGTGTGTGTATGTGTATGTATGTATGTGCATACATATATTTTTAGCACAGCACCAGTTTGCATGTGTATGTGTGTGTGCTTAGTACAGCACCAGTTTGCATGTGTATATGTGTGTGCTTAACACAGCACCAGTTTGCATGTTTGCATGTGTATATGTGTGTGCTTAGTACAGCACCAGTTTGCATGGGTATGTGTGTGTGTGCTTAGCACAGCACCAGTTTGCGTGTGTATGTGTATGCATGTTTATGTGTTTTTTAGCACAGCACTAGTTTTGTCTGTTTCCCCTTCTCCTGCGCCAGGCCAGGCTGGAGTCCGGGAAAGGTCCAGGCTGGGTCACTGTGAGGGTGGAAAGGGATGGCATGGGCAAGCCTAAGGGACCAAGGGCCAAAACCAAAAGGGCAGCTGGGAAGCCCACAGTTAGCCCCATACAAGGCCAGAAACAGGCACCCAAGGAGACAGGAGCTGGGGTGACAGGGCCCAGGGGTGCCATGCACCTGGCAGAAAAGTGAGAGGGACCACAGGATGCAGGAGGGTCTACTCAGGGCGCACCGTGCCGCTGACCCTTCCCCAGGCCCCACCGCGGGGCCCCTTGGGAACCGTGGGTCGGCGGAGCCAGCCAGTGAGGGAGAGAACACAGGCGTTGAACAGATTTATTCGTGAGAACACTCAGGGTCCATCAGGGGGACAATCTACTGGTTACAAGCTCCAGAAGCTCTTGTCAGAACAGCCATCAGGCAGGGGGCCGTGGGGCTGGAAGCTGCTGGGGACAGAGCTGGGGACAGAAGAGCGGACACGGGCGGTTCTTCCCGCCACCTGTCCCGCCCCGGACCGGACCCCGCACCTCCTCCGGGTTAAAGTGCAGTGGGAGGCGGAGGCCGCGGGACAGGCAGCCAGAGCCACAGCGAACACAAGAGCCCTCGCCCTGCGGCTCAGCCAGAGTCCACTCCCCCAGGCCCCTCCTTGGGATCTGAGCAAGGGAGACCCCTCCCCACCATCAGGGGTTGAGAAAGAGTCTCCCCAGCAGGGTGAGGCTGTCTCATCAGCTTTCTGAGGGGCCGTGGGAGGCACAACGATCTCAGAGAAAAGGAGGGATGCTCTCCTGCTGATGGGCTGGGGTCCCTCCCACCCCCTGGCCTCCCTGCCTCCCTCCATCCCCTGGAAAGCAAAGAAAGCCAGAGGCCCACGAGTCAGCAGGGTCCTGCCCAGGCCTGACTCCCAACCACGGGGGGAGAGCCACTTCAGTGCAAGGGGAGAAGGTGCGCTGGGCATGGGGGTGGGCGGAGGCCTCCGGGAAGGCCTGTGGGGCTGGAGCTCCCGCTGCTGCCAGTGGCCTGCCCAGCCCAGCCCCAGCCCCTCCTTCAGGGTCACTGTGGCAAGCACCCACCTCAGCTCAGGGCCCAGCGCCACCTGTGCCCAGGGGCCTGCCCCACCAGAGGCTATGTGGGCCTTAGCCTGGCTCCGCCATCTGCACGGCCTCCACCCACATCAGTGGCTTAGCCAGCGCTCTCCCCTCCTGAGGGCGCATCCCTAGGAGGCAGAGAGGAAGAGAGCCCCCTCCGACGAAGCAGCCTCCCCCCACTCTCAAATATATTAAATTGTGCGGCCTGGCTCCCGCCCCTCCCCTCAGGTCTCCACGGCAACCGGGAAGCATTCCATGTCCAAGTCTGAATCCAAGTCCATCCAGTGCCAAAGGGGGGCTTCAGCCTCTCCCCACACACTTCTCCCAGCATTCCACGGGGGACGCGCGGGGAGGAAGAGTGGAGGGCCTCAGTCCTCAGCCCCCTCCTCCTCGGTGTGGGGGGCCCCGGGGGGTTCCTCGGGCTCAGGGGTCTGCCCCCCTTTGGGGTGGAGGTGGGAATGGGGGTGGGGGTGGGGGTGGGGGCCGGGCTGGGCGCCCGGGCCGTCCTCGCCCTGCACGTAGACGCTCAGCCCCTCGTGACTCGGCTCCTTGCCACACGCCTGGCAGCTGCAGTGCAGGATCTTCTCCACCAGCTTGTCCACCCTGGGCACCTCCTCGTGGCCGGGGCACTCCAGCGTGACCTGCGGAGGGCAGCAGAGAGGTGAAAAGGGATGGCACGGCCAAGCCCAAGGGACCAAGGGCCAAAACCAAAAAAAGCAGCTGGGACGCCCACCGTTAGCCCCATACAAGGCCAGAAAAGGGCACCCACGGAGACAGGAGCTGGGGTGACAGGGCCCAGGGGTGCAGGGCGGCCTCAAGGCTCTCACATCCTCATGGGCCCAAGAATCCTGAGCCCACGGGCGAGAACCCAGTTAGCTCTGCGGGCCCACCCAGCAGAGAAGGGGAGAGTCCCTGCAGAGGCCACCTGACTTGTCTCCCCACACCCAACCCCACCGCCTTCCAATCCACCCCTCCCATCAGCTAGAGGCCCCCCTGGGAGACAAACCCAATGTGGCCTGCCCCTGACTAAATTCCCCTCAGTGCTCCCCCCCGCCTCCCCCCACACACACACACCCACACACACTTGGAGAAAAATCCTGGCTTCTTGCTAAGGCCACCAGGGCCTCGGGCTGCCCCTGGCGAACTCTCCACCCCTGACTATGCGCCACCCACCAACTGCGCTGACTGATCCGCGTGAGACTTCGCACATGCAGTTCCCTCCGCCTGGGAGGTCCGCACCCAGCTGGGCCCAAACACTGCCGTTACCTTCTCCTCAACCTCTGTCTGAGCTCACACCTCATTCTTCCAAGAGCTCCCTCACCCAGACCGCCAGCCTGGCTGAGGTTTGCCCTGTAGGAACCCTTTTAACATCCCGTTCCCCTACTTACCTTCCCCTTCCTTCCTTCCTTCCTTCCTTCCTTCCTTCCTTCCTTCCTTCCTTCCTTCCTTCCTTCCTTTTTTTTCCCTCCTTCCTTCAACTTCGTGCCAGTTTTGGGGACTCGAGGACAGTCCCTCGCCCTAGCCGGTTTGGCTCACTGAATAGAGCGCTGGCCTGCGCACTGAAGGGTCCCAGGTTCAATTCCGGCCAAAGGCACATGCCAGGATTGGGGGCTCGATCCCCAGTGGGGGGCATGCAGGAGGCAGCCGATTAATAACTCTCTCTCTTCATTGATGTTTCTATCTCTCTCTCCCTCTCCCTTTCTCTCTGAAATAGAAATATATATATATATATATATATATATATATATATATATATATATATATATATATATTAAAATAAAAATAATAAAATTAAAAAAAGACAGTCCCTTGAGGAACTTGGAGTCTAGTGTGGGAATAGACTTGTCAAAATCACTCAACAACGAAGAGCATGTGCAAAGGGCCCTGTGACGGTGACACCCAAGCGGGTACTGGAGACTGACAGGAGGTGAGCTGGTGTCATGTGCCAAGCCAGTGAGGAAAGTGAGAGAAGGCGAAGGCAGGAAGGCAGGCGAGCCGGACCACCCCGGGCTGTGGGGCCCGGCAGGCTGGGCAGGGGCGAGCGCAGTACTCACAATCTCCCACATGGACTGGGCTGGCATGCAGGAGTCGCAGTGCACCAGGGACTCTGTAGACTGCGGGAAGGTGTTGGGGACACTGTAGCTGAAGCACTGTCCCAGGCACGCCCTGTGGGAGGAGAGGTCGCCGTGCCCCTGTCACGAAGGCAGAGGCAGGGATGGGCAGCCCTGTCCTCCTCCTCCCCTCCTCCCTCCTGGGCCCCTGCCCCCTCCCCTCCACCCTCCTGGGCCCCTGCCCCCTCCCCTCCACCCTCCTGGGCCCCTGTCCCCTCCCCTCCTCCCTCCTGGACCCCTGTCCCCTCCCCTCCTCCCTCCTGGGCCCCTGTCCCCTCCCCTCCTCCCTCCTGGACCCCTGCCCCCTCCCCTCCACCCTCCTGGGTCCCGGTCCCCTCCCCTCCACCCTCCTGGGCCCCGGTCCTCCTCCCTTCCTCCCTCCTGGGCCCCTGTCCCCTCCCCTCCTCCCTCCTGGGCCCCTGCCCCCTCCCCTCCACCCACGCCCGGGACTCCACCTGTTCTGGATGGACTTGGCCTCACAGCCGCTGTGGCCCACGATCTGAGTGATGTTCTTGGCCTCGCACCAGGCGCTCTTGTCCGGGAACAGCGCCAGCTTGTTGATGGGCGGGGGGGCGGCCAGCAGCATGGCGGGGAGGACGGCCCCCACCAGAACCCGGAGCATCATGCCCGTGGCCTGCGGAGCCCTAGAACTGAGCACAGACTGCGGTGAGGCCAGCCAGGCTGAGGACGCTGGGAAGTGAGGGTCAGAGGAATTGTAAGCATGAGCTCTGACATCTGACTGCCTGGGTTCAGATCCTAACTCTCCCACGTACGAGCCAACACACCTTGGACACGTGTTTCCGCATGAGCCACGAAACTGGGGCTGGTAACCGTGTGTACCCCAATGGCTGTCGTGAAGGTTAAATGAGGCATTACATGAAAAGCCCTCAGCAGATAACACACACTCCATGTCCGTCGTCTTTATAACTTACGAGGGAGCTTTGAACACAGTGCTTTTCCTTCTGTGCCCAGCTGCTTCGTCTAAAAAGGGATGGTGAGCCGAAACCGATTTGGCTCAATGGATAGAGTGTCGGGCTGTGGACTGAAAGGTCCCGGGTTCGATTCCGGTCAAGGGCATGTACCTTGGTTGCGGGCACATCCCCGGTGGGGAGGGGGGGGGTGCAAGAGGCGGCTGATTGATGATTCTCTCTCATCGATGTTTCTAACACTCTATCCCTCTCTCTTCCTCTCTGTAAAAAATCAATAAAATATGTTTTAAAAATAAAAAAATAAATTAAAAAAATAAAAAGGGACGGCGATGCTGTGCTTGGTGCAGGACTGCTGCTGGGACCCAATGGGACACTAAGTTGCAAGCACGTGTCAAGTGCTGAGCCATCACTAGCCCCCTCCTCGCTCCTCTGGGAAAACACACAACACGGCCCACACGGTGCAGGCCCTCGAGGGCTGGCCATCCAGCATGCCTCCTGGACATGCTGCCACAGGGGCCAGTATTCTGACATCTGGAAAGCTAACCTCCACCTTCATGTCACAGTAAACACTGTTGTTATACTGTGTTGCTGGCTGAACCCAGGTTTAAAAAAAAAAAAAAAAAAATTAACCCCGGACAAGACTGTATTTCTTTTTAGGATAACCCACCAAAGCCTTGAGCCCTGAGTCTACACACGTACACATCATTAACCCCAGCTCCCTCCAAACCTGGGACATGCAGGAGACAATCCCAGCCAAGCACCTGACCCCCTCCGTAAATTGAAAGAAGCCAGACACTAGAATACTATAACTGGCCAGCAGGTGGCGCTGCAGGGCAGTGTGTGTCCCAAGGTTGCAGAGGGGACTCTCTCTCCCCATGTTCCCCAAGTTCATCTTTTGTAGGTTCCCCCCCACACAAACCCCTCGAAAACTGAGGAGGAGGAAGGCTTGGTGGAGATACAGAAAGGAGGTCCACTGGGGAAAGGGCGCTGGACAGTCAGGAGTCCACACATGCTATGTGACCATGGACACTCAGACGGCAGCCTTCCCACCTGTCAGGTGAGTGAGGTGCCCTAGACTCTTGGTCGGCAAACTGGCCCCGAGTGTGGCTCTTCCACAAAATACCACGGCCTGGGCGAGTCTATTTTGAAGAAGTGGCATTAGGAGAACTTTTAAGTTTAAAAAAGTTGGCTCTCTAAAGAAATTTCAATCGTCCTGTTGTTATTTGGCTCTGCTGACTAATGAGTTTGCCCACCACTGCCCTAGACCACTGGTTCCCAAGCCTGGTAGCTGCTCAGAATTCCCCGGGGGCTTGTGGAGTGCAAGTTCTAGGGCGGGTGGGAGTCTGCAGTTCCAACAAGCTCCAGGTTGGCTCTGCTCTGCAGCCAGCGTGGGAACCAGGCCGGCTGGGTCCGTCAGGGGTGCTTCCACCAGGGACCGTCCCAGGAGTCAGGCACTGTCCACCGGTCCCACAGACGCCCAGCACTAAATCGGGCTGGCTCAGAGCTGGACATCCCATCCAGAACCACCGCCAGCCCACTGTCTGACTGAAGGGGCAGGTGCTTTATACAGAGTCCGGGGAGGAGGGTCATGCTCAGGCAAGGCCTTGCCTGCCCCTCGCAGTGAACACCTAGGTGGACTGGCTGAGCTGGGCTTGCACACAGGGCTCGGCCAGCCTGCAGGGCTGTGACCTCCTCCGTCCAGCAAGTCCCCTCCGCTCCGGGGGTGAAGCGGGGGGAGCATCAATGCTCCCCCATCCCAGAGGAGTCTGCTACGGCCCCGGCTCTCACCCACACGTTTCCGGCCTCGCTCACAAGATCGACAGCAGAGTCCCTGTTTTTAGTATAACCACATCCTAACAAAACACAACGGGCTCCTTCCTCGCTGGCAGCCTGGCTAATTTTTCAGCAGGCTTGGCATCCAGGAGGCCTCCTCGCTCCTAATGGTGCTCGTCCGTCCCCGGGGAATCAGCCTGAGTCAGGGTCTGGCCACGGCTCACCAGAAGAGAGCTTTCATGTTTGGCAAGTTTTTAATGTTTTGTTGGTTTATCCTTTTGGCTTTTCCCCAGGCTGGACCGGCCCCCGGAGACCTCCGAGAAACCCGGGGACTTGTGTCCTGTCCCTGACCCCCGTCGTGATGGCTCAGGAAGGTCCGGGCAGGTGTGGCCGGGGAAGAAGCACCAGGGACAGGGCGTGGTTTCCGTTTCCTGAGGATCTGGAACGGAGATTGGGATTTTAATGAAATCCTGGAGGTGCGCGCTCTGGGCTGAGCAGGAGCTGGAATGAGCTCAGGGTCTAGACCAGGATGAGGCTCACAGGGAGCAGAGGTCGGGGCTGAGGCTAAATGACAAGGCTCAGGAGACAGCAGGGAGTCTTTTAAGGAAGTCGCTGGCCCAGAGGACGGGGACTGGTTGGTTGTTAGGGCCATGCAACGGCCGAAGCTGAAGAGAAGTGAGATAAGCAGAGGGGAAGGCCACCTCCCTGACCTTCCTCCCTTCCTAGTACTCAGCCGCGAGTTCATCCTAAGGGTCAGCTGTGTCCACAGAAAAGCGGTCACCCCCCCCCCCACCCCGCCCTGGGCAGGAGGAGGGCCTGGGCCACACCCAGCCTCCCCGGCCAGCAGCCCGGGCCCCCCCATGCAAGGCCCGAGGGCTCTCCTCCGTGAGCCCAGCCTCCGGCTCCGGCTCTGTGACGACCGGAAACAAAGCTCCCCTCTCTGCACCCACTGACCTCCACCCCGGAATGGGGAGCAGAGCCCCTTCCACGGAGAACAACTGGGATGATGCAGGGAGAGCACCCAGTACCCAGCGGGCACCCAGTCCTCTTCCCCGGGGGATCATGGGAAAGGCTGGGCGGCAGCAGAGCCAAAGCTCAGCGCTGGAATGCGAGGCGGGGAGGGTGCCAGGCTACTCACTCCCAAGCATGCTGGTCCTTGGGACATCCCCACCCTCCTCCTGCCCTCACACCCACCACCAAGCACTCCCCCTGCCCCCTTCCCACTGACTGGGGTAGGCTCTTTGCTGGCAGGCTTAGTTTTTTGTTGGTTTATGATTATTTCTTTTTTCAAGCAGCAACTCAGCTACCTTTTATTTTTTTTAGACCTTCCTCCCCACCCTGAAGGTCACACAGCAAGTCAAGGGGCCCTCAAAATACCAGGTGGGAAGGGGGATCCCCACTGGTCCCAAGGCCCCCCAGCAAGGCAGGCCAAACAATGCCCTTCCCCTGAGCCACACGGTTCACTGCAGCCCACACTCTTTAATGAGCCACTTCTAGGAGGCGGGGTGTGGGCAGGGGAGCTGGGGTCCCAGGCCCTGGGCCCACTCAGGAGCGCGAAGCCCAGAGAGGGAGGGGAGGGGAAGGGGTTAAGAGGAAGTTGTCTAAAGTAGGGGCAGCCCGAGGGGACTGTGGGGGCAGGAAGTAGAGATTCTTTTTCGTTTACTTTGTTAATCCTCACCTGAGGATATTTTTTCCATTGCTTTTCAGAGAGAGTAGAGGGGAGGGAGGAGGAGGAGAGAGAGAGAAACATTGATGTGATTGATGTGAGCAAGACATCAAGACACACATCGACGGGGGTGGGGGGGAAAGGGGGAGGTAATTGGGGAGGGGAAGAAGACATTTGTAATACTTTCAATAATAAAGAATTAAACACACACACACACACACACACACACACACACACAACTGACAAGGTGGGGAGAGGAGGATCGGACTCAAAATCCAGGTACTTGCCCTTGATCAGAATCAAACCCTTCAGTGAGCAGGCGGATGCTCTAACCACTGAGCACACTGGCCAGGGCAGGAGCAGAGATTCTTGATTCTGGATTTGACACAGAATCGCAATCTGTTATCATGGTGAGGACAGGAAGGGAGCTCCTGGCTGAAGGCATTGCCTGAGCAAAGGCTAGGAGAGAGGATTTGTCGTCAGCGCACACAGCTAACTGGCACAGATCTAGGTGCTTTTGCAAACTCATTCATCCATCCTTACAACAACCCTCTGCAGCAGAGACCCTTGTTCTCCTCGTTTTATAGATGAAGACACTGAGTCACAGAGAGGGTAAGAGGTTTGGTCCAGATCTGTTGACAACTGCCCTCTGTGCCTCGGTCGTGAGGACTGAATACATGAGTGCATGCACTTAGCACATGCCTGCCCACAGTTAGAACCCGCAGGTGATGCATAGGTCTGAGGCTGCACTTGACAGCCGCAGGGAAACCACCAGCCACCTGGGCACACGCAGAGGGTCACAGAGGAGGAAGCAGGAAACGGAGAAGCGGCGGGAATCTGGGGCATCGTCTGGAGTGGGCCTGAGGCCTGGGGCTCCCCGCCCTGCCCTGGCCCAGCCGCTGTCTCTCATCCCTGGCCGGCCTGAGTCTCCTGCTCTGGAGCGTGGCCACCGGCTGGCTGGGAATCTGGGAAGCCCCTTCAAACAGAGTTCAAACCCCACTGCTGACTCCCCCGCAGACGAGCTCATGGCCACGGCCGACCCTGCTCCTGGGAGCCTCGGGGATGGCACTGCCCTTCCTCAGAGCCGAGGCGAGGCTTCAGCGAGGGTGCCAAAGCCAGGGGGCGGCTGTTTACCCTCTCACTGTCCACCCCCAGCTCGAAGCCCTTCAGCCCTAGGCCTCGTGCAAACACCCCCACGTTCTGAGGCTGCCAACACAAAGAAGGAAGGTCCCCCCAGAGGGACACTCTGACCCACGCAGCCCTGTGCAAACGGAGGCTCAGCCCAAGAGAGCGGCCGCCAGGCCCCCCACACATGAGAGCTCAGTGCTCAGCTCCCGCAGGAAGGGCTGGGGGTGGGGGTCAGCAGGAACACAGGCCTCGGGGTCAGGACTGCGGGGTTCTCTAGGTGTCCACACTGCCCAGAACCTCACCTCTTCCCAGAGAGGCCGGTCCCAGCCCCGGACTTTCTGACTCCTTAGGTCTGGACCTGCATGGGCTCCCACGTGATTCTGAGGCCCGGAATCCAGTCTTAAATTCACAGGAGGGAAGGGGCAGATTTCCAGGGAGACCTGGGCCTGCCCCGCACTGTGCAGCTCTTTGTGGAGCAGAGTCCACTTGTATAACAATAGCTCCCCATTTCCTCTTTGGGGTACATCTAAATATTCAGGGTCACTTAGAGCCAAGCACAGCAGGATTTTCTGGATAGAGAGTATCCATGCACCCCAAGCCAGCCTGTCTGCCTCTGTCTCTGCCTCTGTCTCTCCCCCCAACCCCCCTTCTCTCAGCAGGGTCTGGGTCTCCTCCCTTCTCCACTGAGGACTGTGACACTAGAGTTCCATCCTAGCTCAGCCACGTCATCCTCTCTCTGCAGCAGTTCCCTCATCTGCCAAGGTGGACAGAGATAATCCTCACCTCGAAGGGCAATTGTGCATGGAGACCTCTGGAGGGCCCTGTCCTGGGATCCGTCCTCAGTAAACGTCACTGTTACTGCCAGCTCGGCGTCTCCCTGGGCCACACATCCTCCCTGAACTCTGCCCACGCCCGCCCCTCGGCCTCCCACAGGATGCCCCCGCCCCCTCTCCTCCCCACTCCCTCCCCCAGGGTCTGGGTGGTCCTGAAAATATGCAAATCCGGGGTTGCACCTGCCACGGTGATGAGGGGAAGCCTCAAGGGGAAATGGAAGCAAATGACAGGATGGCCGGGAAAGGGTTTGTCCCCCTCACACACTCTTACTGGGGGGGAAGGGGGTGTGGACACGGAGCCGAGAGGAAGATCCCACTCAGACTCTGATTCTTGGGCCGAGGACTGAAGGGACAGGGCCCAGGAGAGACCAGCCCCCTCTAGAATCCAACTTGCAGAAAACAGGGCTGGGCCCGGCTGCCAGGCTGCGCTGGCTGCTGAGTGCAGAGGGTGTGGCGTTTGTGGCCCTGGGCTCGGGGATCAGCAAGGGCGCGGCAATCATGGCGGGGCTTGGACGGAGCGCAGGGACTTCCGTGAAGGGTGCAACTGCAAAGGTCACTCTGAGCGGGGCCGGCCGGTGTCAGACCCAGCCCCGGTCAGCTCAGCGGGCTTTCCCAGGCCACTTCAGGCCCAAGCTCATGTCCTGGCTCCCTGTGTGCCTGGAGGCAGGATAGTCTACTGGTTACAGCCCAGGCCACTGGCTTCGCCTCCCTCAGCCTCTGTAAAACAGGGAGCATCCACTTCAGCAGGTCCCCTCACCGGGCATCGGCCCCGAGCACTGTTCAAGCCACTGTGGTTCGACGACCCCGGTCTCACTGCAGGGCAGCTTCCCCCTCCCTCAGCGCGCTGGCAGAGCCGAACCCACTGTCCAGGGGGCTGACACGCAGGGCCCAGCCCCCGCCCCACCTTCCTGGCCACAAACCCCCAGCCCAGGCCAGGGCCCTCCTGCCCCAAAGACCTTGCAGCCGGAAGCCCCAAAGCTGTCTCCAAAACAAACCCATGCTAATGAGCGGCTGCAGGGCCGGCCTGCACATCTGCTCAGCAGAAGTCCCCTGCAGACCTCGCCAGCACCCCGCCGGCTCCCTAGCCTCCGACCCTTGGGGTTGGGGGCTGGGGGAAGGGGCTAAACTCAGCCTGAGATTTCACTTTAAAAGAATGAGGATATATCCGCAGCCAACGCAGAGCACCTACACCCCCCCCACCCCACCCCCATCCACTCCACAGACCTGGAGAAAGCTTGCAAAGGTGGGGGGAAGAGATGGGGAGGGCGGGGGGCTGGCGGAGCAAATACTCCAGCCTCACCTTCTCTTCGGTCTCCAGCTAAAGGCACATCACACCCCAGCAGCCCCAGCAGCCCCAGCATCTGGGGAAGGTTCGGAGGCCGGAGGTCTGACAGTAACAAAGGATGAGGGGCCTGTTGACAAATTGCTTCCTCACCCCCATCTCCTGAGGGGCCAGACTTTGGCCTCAGGCCCTGACCTCTGTTTTCTGAGGGGTAGGGGTGGGGGTAGGGGGTCCCCCTCACTGACAGACTGGTGTCCCCCAGCTGGGCCAGGGCCTCCGAAAGCCCGAACATGTGCCCTCCTCCCCCCGGTGCCCGCCAGGCCCCCGGCCGCGCCAAGGCAGCAGCTGCCCCTTCCCGGCCGCTCGTAAAAGATCAGGGCGCCCCGCCCGGGCCAGGCGGGCAGGTGGCCGGCAGCGGGCCCTGGGGTCCGGGCCGCCTGGCGGGGGCGGGGGGCGGGGGGGGAGGGTCCTAAGAAAACTGAGCCCCGGAGAGGCCGGCTCCCCCGGCCCCAGGCTCCATTCCGGGGGGATGACCCCGGCCAGGCTCCAGGGGCAGGCGGCAGGCAGGGAGAGGGTTTCCTTTCTGTCTCAGGGTCTAGGGAACTGGGGCGAGGACCCCGACCCTGGGCGGTTGTGTGAGTTGGAGGGAGGGGGATCGGGGAGACACACAGACACCCAGAGCCCCCGCTGCGGGGCGGGGTGCAGAGACAGAGCCGCGCACGGGCAAAGGCGCAAACCCGGGGAAACTCAGGACGGAGAAACAGAAAGAAAGGGACAGAGCCGGAGGGACGGGGAGGAATCGGGAGGCGGACGGGGAGGCAGGGACAGGGAGACAAAAGGGAGGCAGATCGCCCCGGTGCGGAGAGGCTCGTGGCGCGGGGAGGCCGGGGGAGAGGTGGGGGGCGGCAGCCCGGGGGATGCGGGAGCCCGGGGCCCAGCTCCCCGCGCCGCCCGACCCGCCCTCCACCCGGCCCCGGCCCCGCCGCGCACCGCCCTCCCGCGCTCTCCCGGCTCCAGAAACTCCCACCGAGACCGGGGAGCGCCGGGCGGGTCCGGGGAGGGCTCCGGGCTCCGGGCTCCGGGCTCCGGGCTCCGGGCGCAGCGCGGTCCCCCGGCCGCCCCGCGCCGCGCCCACGGCCCCGGCCCCGGCGTCCGGAGGGGCTCCGCGGCGGCGCCCCGGCCCCGCGCCCCGGGCCGCCGGGCAGCTAAGCCGGGCACGGAGCTCGCAGCCGGGGGCGCGGCCGAAGTCTCCGGACCCCGGGCGCCCGCGTGCCGCCCGGACGGGACTTACCGCGCGGCGCGCCGGCCGGTTCCCGCGGAGCTGGGCGCGGACCGGGGTGGCGGCCCGGCGGCCCGGAGGCTGGGGAGGCGGCCGGCAGGGCTGGCGGGGCCCCGGAGGCTCGGCTGGGCTGCGCGGCGCGCCGTCTGCGGCCCCGGGCGGGCGGGCGGGCGCGCGGTGCGGGGAGCGGCTCCGACGTCAGGGTGTCTCCCTCCAAACAGGGAGCGAGGGCGGGGGCGCGGGAGGGAGGGCCGCGGAGCGGAGCGGGCGGTGCGCTCGGCCGCTCCCTCCGGGCGCGCGGGCGGGGTGCCTGGGCGGCCGGGGCCGGGCCGCTTCTCCCCGCCGCCCGGAGCCTCGGGCCGGGCTGGGCGCGGAGCGATGGGGCCCCCGGGACCCGGCGGAGAGCCCCGCGCCCCGGCTCGTTCTGGAGCTCCCGCCGCCGCCGGGTGTCTCTGCGCCCGGCTGTCTCCCCGCCTGACTTCCCCGGGAGGGTGGCCGCCAGCCCCTGCCGGGCCTCGGGGTGGCAAACACGGAGGGGTTGCTCTAGGTGGGAAGCCCAGTCCTGCTCCGAGGGTGCGGCGCCCCGGTCCACCAGTCCGACACCAGGAGGCTGTCCTCGCCCCTAAGTCCTGGGGGCTCCCGGCCGGCGGATACACTGCTGGGCACGCCACCGGCGGGAGCAGTTAGTACCGAGTGTCACGCACCTCCGCCCGCAGCGTCCGGAGAAGGGCCTGGGGACCCCAGGAAGGACTATCAGGAAAGAGCGCCAGGAAATGGGCTCATTTCTCTGGCTCCTGGGAGAGCAGAGCCTGGGCCTGGCTCAGTGTCCAGCCTCACCTGGGGTGGATGGCACCCAACTGATCCATCTGCAGTCGGGCACTTGCGTGGATTGCAGCCATGTCTTCTCTGATCTGAAAAATTAGCTTTGCTCCTAAAAAAAAAAAAAAGGTAGCCACCCAGGACCCAACCCTGGGACTAGGAGACTTGTTTTCCATCCTAGTTGTCCTGTGCAGCTGGTGGAAGCTCCCTGAAGGCTGGAGGTTGCTGAGCGTCCCTGGGGCTCCTGATGGCCTGCTGACAGCTCTGAGGTGCACTCTGACCTCTCTGCCCTCCCCGTGCCTCCCAGCACCTGCTTGTGCTGTTCCCTCTGCCAGGAGGTTCCTACCTCTCATCTCCTGCTAAAGGCATTCTTAAGAAAAAAAAAAAAAAAAAAAAAATATATATATATATATATATATATATATATATATATATATAATTTCAGAGAGGAAGGAAGAGGGAGATAGAAACATCAATGATAAGAGAGAATCATTGATTGCCCGCTTCCTGTAAGCTTCCCCTCCCCCCTTCACCCCACTGGGGATCGAGCTTACAATCTGGGCATGTGCCTTTGACTGGAATTGAACCCAGGATCTTTCAGTTCACAGGCCGATGCTCTATCCACTGAGCCAAACCGGCCAGAGCTAAAGCATTCTTCAAGCACCAGACTGGAAAGCCTTCCTTCCCAAGACCTCAGGTGCATAAACTTCCTCTTCCGGTGTGATCCTGGAGCAGGGGACACAGGACCTGCCAGTGCTGCTTTCCCCGCAGACCCATGGAGGGGGTCCCTTTCCTTCTCTAGACCAGGGGCTCCTTGAGGATCACAAGGATTCCAGCGTCCCCAGCGTTTCAGGTCGGGCCAGACAAGGTGGACAACATATATGGCTAAATGAAGTATTATTCCCCATAGGAAGTGCTCCCCGAGGCTAACTAACCATCATAACGTCACACTCCCTGAGCACCTGACTATGTGCCTGGTCCACCGGTATAATAAACCTATGAGATAAAGTATTGTTACCCCCAATTTATAAGTAAAAAAGCCACGGCCTAGAGAGAGGCGAAGTCACTGACCTGAAGTCACAGGGAAGAGGAGGTGCCAGTGACGGCTTCTGTCCGTCGGATGATCTGGTCCCACAGAGCCCAGCCTCCCTGCACTGGACGCAGCAGGCGCTCCGGCTATGTTTACATTTTGCTTACCAACGTGGCCCCTGGGGCGGGTGGGCAGCAGATGCCTCCATGTGGTAAGAACCCACTCCAGCTGCAGGAAGCTGAATGTGGCCTAATGAGCTTGTCAGATCTCACGGGGAGAGCACGAAGTAGAAGCCCTTGGCAGTTCACTGCTCAATGCAGGGAGGTTCTAGAACAATCCCAACTGCCTAACCAAGAATATGGGATTGGGGTTGAGTCACGCTATGGGTCCGGTGAAGACTGGCCATGACAGGAGGACCACAGTGTGGGCCGGTGGTCTGGAAGGTGACTTGTTAATTTTATTAACAGCTACCCATCAGGCGGCGGCATTATGCTAAACCCTATCAGATCCTCACCACAACCCCATCGTCATTCCCATTTTACAGGTGAGAAAAGTCAAAGCATAAACATGTTTAGTTTCCTGCCCAAGATCGCTGGCAAAGTGACTGACAAAGTCTAGGCTTGAACCCAGACCGAAGCTGGAGCTGCTCCACTGCCCACCACACCCCGGTGGCTGCCTCAGAGCCTCCCCCAGGCGGTGTGGGACACTGCACCACACGGACCCGGGGCGGCGCGGCCCCAGCAGGAAGGGCAGACCTGTCACGGTAGAGTCTCCGAGCTCGCTGCCGTGCACCTGGTTGGCAGCGGTATGCCAGTTGCCCCAACAGGCCTGGCTGGCACAGGGCACAGGCCTGAAGCCAGAGCCTGCTGGCTCCGGGCCAGCCCCTTGGGGCCGTGGTAATGTGGGGCCCAGGGAGGGGAGAGAGGGCTGAAAGCCTCTCTCCCCAGCTCATTAGCAAACATCTGGGCTCAGAAAAAGGCCGACCTGGAATGTGACTGGGCTGTGGGGAGCTGCTCCCTCCCCGGGTCCCGGAATGCGAGCTCCCTCCCGCAGGGCACCGGCTCAGGCCAGCTGTTTCCTCTAATCCCCTCAGCCTGGCCTCGACAGGGGTCCAAACCTCTGCACTCTCCTGGAGAAAGAGTGAAAACAAGCAAAAGGCCTTCCTCCCGAGTCCGCCCCGAAGAACCAGAGGGTTGGTACTGGGGCCCAGATCCTCCCTCTCCCATGAGATAAAGACCACGTGTATCCACGCTTGCATGTGTGGAGCTGGGAGAGGCCGTTAAGACTCATCACGGAAGGTTCTGGAGTCTCTCCGCTTGGGTTTGAACCTTGCACCGTTACCCACAGACTCTGGGACTCTGCAGGTTGTTTCTTGCCCGGGCCTCAGTTTCCCTCTCTGTACAACGCAGCTGGTATGGTGTGTACTCTACAGAGTTGTTGCGGGGACTCATTTCCTTAATATTTATCGTGCCTACGATGTTCCTGACAGGCACAGAGGAGTCAGGGACACAGTAATGGACTAGACCAATAAGGTCTCAGCCCTCAAGAAGCAGGAAGGCAGAGAGTGTACAAGTAAGCAGACGAATGGGATTCTCCGAAGCAGAGTGCTATGAAGGAGCTAA